AGAACTAACAAAAGAATCAAACGTTAACTACAAAGCGCAGTTATAACTTACAAATTACAAAGTATCCCTCACATATGGAGGACAGAGGTGGCTAAGGATTACTTGTTCTGCAATCTGTTGTAACTCTGACCCATTCTCCGCGTCCTTGCTTTATTTTCCTAGTGTCGGTGCACTTTGGTGACGTGTGCACGACGGGTAGTTGTCAAAACGTACTCATAAAGCAATGGAGGAAAGGAGAACGCACCGCTAAGGGATACAATTGGCATCAACAATTTTTATTAACGAGTTGCTATGCATTAAAAAACGAACGAGCGAATTTTTTTTTATGCAAAGCAACGAGTGAATAAAAATCGTTCAAGCATTTTCCATGGTGTAATGTTTTTATTTCATACGTACTGAGATTTTTTCTTACTGAAAGCCGCACGCTTGTTGCCCTCCACTGCGAAGTACCATCGTTCATGTCTACGACTGGACGAACGGTGTATTTTCAGTCGTTCGCTCAGTATGTACGAAATAAATTACGGTACTTTCAATGTTTTGAGAATCAGATACCGTATCAACACTTTTTTGAGCATAAATCTTTCCAAACCTGAATAATTACTATTTGTTATCAGAACGATTGTCTGCCACAATCCTCAACCCTTAACAAAACGATCTATTTTTTTGGTGAAAGAACGTTTCCTGTCCACGTAGAACGTTTGAAGTACTACCCTTCTGATCCCCTAACTCGATCAACTCGGACGTCGTCTAAAAAGCAACTGAAGTGGTTGCGTTAACAAATTTTTTAGGGTTTAAGTAGTTCAGGAATTAAATAATATTTATAATTTCCATAGTTACAAAGGTGCCCTAAAAGTTACCAAAATGCCCTGCAAAGTTAAAAAAGTGCCTGTCACGTTGCAGAAGTGCCCTTTTGTGTTACAAAAGTGCCTGAAAAAAGATAGAAATGTGCCCTTTCCTCTAGCTCTCTCTCTCTCTCTCCATCAATAATGTGTGTGAAGGTTGAGGTAGAGTTGATTTACGAAAGCACCGGGTGGTACAATTGGCGCCATACATCTTATCATTAGAACACACAAGAGAGAAATTTAGTCGATTCGATCTATGGAAACGATCAGATTGATCGCGCGAAAGCGAGGCGTTACCCAGAGGCCCTCTTTGTTCCAGTCTCTCTTACATTCACAGCGCCATATTTCTTCTTCAACTTTTTCCTTATCGCACTTTGTCCGACATGGATTTTCAAAACCGCGCAGGAGGAAAAACGGGCTCGGGTGGTGTAGCTTCGTGGTCAGAATCGAATAGAGACCGTCGAGAACGTCTGCGACAGCTTGCTTTAGAAACAATCGATCTCAACAAGGTAAATATATTTCATAGTTTACGTCGTTGGTTCAGAATGTGTGCACGAGCTTGTTTTAACTCGCGTGCATGGCCCACGATAGGACTTGCACGCGTACATTAGCAAAAATCTATGAGCATATGGTATGAAGAGCTCTCGACTTTACGGTTTTCGGCTTCATTATTGGTATACACATACATGTTCAACGTATTTTCAACTTTACTATTTCCACGTTATTTTGAAAGTTTACCACAAGGTAACAATATAACGATGTGATTTTTGTTGAGGTTTTCATTAATACAGTTACTGATGGTATTTTCAAGATTATTTTATTTTAAGGAGTGATGTTGAACTTATATCCTTTTTGATTTTCAGGATCCCTATTTTATGAAAAATCATCTTGGTTCTTACGAATGCAAATTATGTCTTACTCTTCACAACAATGAGGTAAGGTGTTTAGCTACGAAGTAACTTATGTTACCTTGTTCACTAATCGATGATACTTTAATCAAGGGAAAGCTATGGAAATTTTTTCTTTGGAGTAAATTTCCATTGAAAATAATTTCACATCTGTCTTATTTGGATGTTTTAAATGGCCAGATATAATTATAATAATTAAGATCAAATGCAAATTCCACCTCCAAATATTGAGAGTTCGCAAAATTAATTCTGTATCTCAGTAAATAAAATGAAGTGACAACACAAGTTCTGGTGCTACAGTTTGTCTTGCTTGCATTTATCTGCTGAAAAGTGATTCAGCTGAAAAATAGCAAACTATACCGAATGGAAAAGTAATCTATCCATCATCACTACACTCTGAGTAACCCAGATTTATGCATTGATTGTTATTTTTTATTTTTTTTAAGGGAAGCTATCTTGCCCATACCCAAGGAAAAAAACATCAGTCAAATCTGTAAGGAGTCATGTTAATCATAACAACTAGAAATCACATTATCCTAATACTGGAAGACATTACATAGTGAAACTGAAACAATTATTGGTGCATATGAGCAATAACTAGTGTAGGTACATGTAGGATGCAGGAAGAATGAAAGTCTGCCTTGCTGATTGAATAAATAGCTGACATACTGTACATGTAGAAATACATCCAGATTAACAATTCTTAGAATAACATTTATGACTTAACTCCATAGGGCTCGTCGAGCTGCTAAAGAAGCAAAGGAGGCCCCAGCTCAACCAGCACCTGTGAGTACCTAATGTTGTGACACTTAATAAGAGTCAGCATGTAATTTTCTCATAACTGAGTCGTCCATGATCAATCCTTTAACTCTCAAGATCTGATTGTTGACTCTCCTCTCTAGCTGATGCACATCCCTATTGTAAATTGGTTACAAGAATTTGATTTTAGATCAAGATAACAACTTCTACCTGATAAGTTTGAAATCCTCAATACCTGTTGGCTGGATAATGTATAGATATAGTCACTACCAGGAGTATAAGGGTTAAAATACTACATCTCAGGCAGTTTTATTATATTTGGTTTTAGGTATCATTTACTTTTACCTAAGATAAATTTGATGTGGATTTTGACCATCGTTTTTATCCTGATGTGTTTTATGTTTCAATTGTTTTACGCAAACATGCAAGCTGCCTCGTGTAAACTGTAATTCATCCTAAAACTTCATATTTTAGACTAAATCTGTGCTCTCAAGGTCGATTTCCTTGTTTATCTAGGCCCCTGTAGTTATTTAGGACATCCATTGCTCTCCTTTTTTTTTTGGTAATTGTTTGTCAAACTAGGAAAGGGATGCTGAAAGGGATGCTTGGGTACAAAGAAAAGTTGTTGTTTCAAGAAAAAAAGGCATTTTGTTTAAAGTTTGTAAATTACCTTTTTATTTTTTTTTTTACAGGAAAAACCAAGAGTATCTGTTAAAAAGTTTGTTAAAATTGGTCGTCCTGGCTACAAAGGTATTAGAATATGTTTATGTTAAAGTTTTAAAAATTTGGCTGGATTTATTATTTTTTTTTAAAAACAAGTTGTAGTTTTGGTTAGGAGCTCTAGCAATGTTTTGTGGATGAAGGAAAATTCAAATTCTTTTTATCTTTTGCTAACACCTTGCTGTATTGTTCTTTTCCTTTCCTGTAATAAGTTACAAAGCAGAGAGATTCCGACACTGGACAGCATAGTTTACTCTTTCAGGTAATATGTGTGTACCTTTGTGGACATACTTTCATTGCCACTGTAAACGATGAAAGGTTTATTTAATATCTGATGCATCAAAGAAACCACCAAGAATGCCACTAAGTTAGTGTACAAATTGAAAATAGAATAAAATACTAGCACAGAAAGATTTGATCAGACAATTTTTTTATTAATTGTTTCATTCTACACAATTTTTCCTTGTGCATTTTCACACTGGTTTATACCACTCTGTGGTGTATTTTCAGACAAAAATAATGCATTATAAAGCATGTGAGGGCCTGTAAAATGAAAAACTGTATGGGAATGTGGGGGGGGAGGGGGTGGTGAGATGGGAAGTGAACTCACAAACCCACAGCCCTTTTAAGGGTTATGGCCTTTGGTGCACTGATGTTATATGACAATATCAATCAAATATTTATATCAAAACTTGTTTACATTGGTTAAATTTGACTGAAAAAACTCCAAAATATCTCGAGGTGTTTAAAATCTCACTTCATAAGTTTGCTCAAAAGCTTCCAAACAGTCATAGACAGCTCCAGATTGATGGTAACCATCCAATATCACATAATACTAAACACCTTCAACAGGCAGTCTACAAGAAAAATACAAGATAACTTCCTGTGTGTACTAAATTTTGATATGCACATTTTCTCAAATTTTGACACTATATGTGAACCAGGCTTAAGACCCGAACCTTTCTTTGCCTGGCTGAGCCAGATTCTATTTTTTTCCATTGGTACATCACTTTTTGACTTGCAGTTGCTTTAAGTAATTTCTTTGTAACTACATGATCTTTGCATAAAAATTTTTCTTCTGCTTGCTGTTGAAAACAAACCTGTTTCCTGCCTCCAAATGCTGAATGAAATTTAAGTGATCACAATTTCTTTTTTTTATTTTAACTGAGTGAACTTGAAAATGTATTCAGCAGTGAATTCCTTAAGTGTTATTTATTGGTGGAATCCCAGGAATATTCCCTTCATTACTGATGCATTCAACCACTATGTTAAAATAAGATAATGGAATTAAATCAGTCAGCCAATGAATTTTAAGAAGACTTCTAGTAACTTGTAGTCATGAATGTTTTCCAGGTGGATTACCCAGAGATAGCAGAAGGCATCACTCCAAGACACCGTTTCATGTCAGCCTATGAACAGAGAATTGAACCTCCTGACAAGGCGTGGCAGTATCTCCTGTTTGCAGCAGAGCCGTATGAAACAATAGCATTCAAGGTGATTACTTGTTTTAGCCTTTTGATGATCTCTCTGTTTAACTTTACATCATGTAAACTAAGGTCCACCCTCACCCACAAAATTATGTTTCATGACTGGTCAATCATCAGTTAAATTCTTTTTGGACAATGGGTCAAATAGAGATTTTGAATTGTTTTATGGATATTAAATTTTTTTCGTCACAGATTCCAAGTCGGGAAATTGACAAAGATGAAGGGAGACTTTGGACTGAATGGAATAAAGACACAAAACAGGTCAGAACATATTCAGCATGTAATTATTATGGGAGGAGATATCATATTAAGGTTAAATTACATGTATCTATGAACTGTAATACACTGTAACACCAATACTGTAGTTCATAAAAATGTGCAATCTAAGAATTAGGAGACATTGATCAAATGGTAGTAGCAAGGAAAGGAAAAGGCATAGCTAGAGGGCAGGTTATACCACCTGGGGGCATAGTTGGGACTCATCTTAAGATACATGTGACCCTTACTTATGTTAAGAAATATTGATGATTTGCCATTATGAAAAGATCTGGTATTCCTCCAAATACCAGCATTGGAAACAACTCTCTTCCCCCCCCCCTCCTCCTCTCTTTCCACCCTCCCCCCCCTTGCAGAAAATCCTGCTTACACCCCTCAGACTCTTATCAATACTGGACTTCACTGCCTTAAGTTTGAAACTCAATTTACTGTAAAGATATTAAAGTTAGGTTAGATTAGTGGAAGTTTAGCTCTTCCACATGGCTGATGGTAAATGAGGGTGAAAAGTAAATCTAAGAAAGCTAAGTAACTTGTGTTGTCTGGTTCATGAGACCCATCTTCCATTCATTGGGGTTTGTTTCCATTTTAAGTTAACAACAAGTTTGGTCCTGCAAAAAAAAATATTATCAATGAACTCTATTGTACATTAAACCTAGGAATTTTGTAGCCAAGGGGTTTTCATTTTAGGGTTTCCTGTATGGTTTAACATTAAAGTTAACACTCTGTTCTCGTTTCTTACAGTTTTTCCTTCAGTTTCATTTCCGGTTGACTCCCATTCAAATTCAACAGCAACAGCAGAAGAGAAGTGTCAATCAGCCAGGTGTGCCACCAGGTTTAGCCCCACCTCCTCCGAGGAACATTCCATCTGCCAATCCACTCAACCCATTTGCTCAGCGCTGATAAGCTATGTTGTTTATGTTAACTTTTTAGGACCATGCTTTCTTTTTGACACTTTGAGTTTGACCAAAAAGTAAAATTGATTTAGGAGACTCTTAAATACTATCATCTATGTAATAAAGTGGAATTTACAACTTGGGAAGGTTGTGTCTCTTTGGTTTCAACAGAAAATATTGGTGTGCCTAAAACTTCAGTAACGATGGCAAGGTAAAGTTGCTCAAGTTGCAGCTAAATAAGGAAATTGGGCAAAGGATGCCATAACCTCAATCCCAGAGATGCGGTATATCAGAGACGCAGTTAGATCACACTTTGTGTCCATTTAACAAACTTTTAGGCTAAATTTGTCTTTTTGTCATTGGGAATTCATTTAAATTTTTTTTGTCCTTATCCAAAGTCCCATTTAATTTGAGGTTTCCTTCTGTTAAAGAAGACGCTCTGAATGGCTCAAAATATAGTCAAAGGCTCCTTTCAACAAAAATGTCCATGAAACAAACTTTTGAAATGAAAACACAAAGATAGCCTTGTGGCATTTCCTTAATAGTTCAAACTTGCTGAAAACAGCAATAAAACATATGCGTATATTACGGTATACGTAACTGTATTCAACTACGATGAAAGGTTAAGGGAGGAGAGAGAGACTGGGCATGTCAAGCTAGTGGATAAGGGAGGAGAGGGAGACTGGGCATGTCAAGCTAGTGGATAAGGGATGGGACGAAAAATGGGCTTGTCCAACCAGTGGTTGGAAGACTGGGCTTGTCATTCAGTTTCCAGTCATTTGTAACAGCGATACCGTCCTAACAAATGGGTAGAGAGGGAAGTTAGAAATGGAACAAGTGTCAAAACAAGACCTCTCTTTATTTTACGTACATAGTCATTCGGTTGATTTATGATTTATTACCGGCTCCTAAAGCGCAATTTACACACGCCGCATACTATCCATGGGTCAAACTCTATTGACCACAGGTTTAAGAAGTGGTCTATCAGTTCACAGAGGTCCCAAATAGAGAAGCAAACTTTAATGACATCGCGAGCTAAGAAATACAAAAACGATACGCTGACAAAACCCCGCCTAGGAACACAGCCTTACTTTCGAAGAAACGAAAAGTCCGAGACGAGCGCTGAGAAGAAGACATTATTCTGTCAGTTTAATTCTAGCTTGTTCCAGATTCTCGGCGAGTTGAAACGGGTGATAGAAGCGGGCACGCGAAAAACCGTGGGAATGGGAGTCAGGCCAACAAAAACCACTTGCCTGGCAAGCGCAACCGTTATTTGTCACTCACACGTTCTTTAATTAACCTTCTTCGTCTGTTTTAAAAGTACATATTATGCTTAAGCTCATTATGCGCCAGTCAATCTTGGCTTGACCTTTCTCGCCCCCCGTGCCCAAGGGTGGTGAATTTGAAACTTGCCTGGCAGGGGTAGGGAATTTGAACCAAGCGGATTCCAGCGGAATACAAGTATTATATCTTTAAATATGGAGATATGGAAGTGATAAAGGTGAATAGTTCAAAACTATGGTTCTGAGGAAAAGATCTCCACAATCCAGGTTTTAAAGATTGGTCTATGGTTAGAAAGCCACGGTCGCTGATTTTGCCTTTTAGAAAAAATTTGGTGGGGCATTTGAACACAATTCCTTCTCCGGAGGAAAGGGCGCGGGAATTTGACCAAACCAAACTTGAAAAGTTCAAATGTCTGGGGGGGATGTTGAAGCTCCGAACTGACCGACGCATTATTGTTACAAGCGCTTCGTGTTTGAGAGCGCATACGTGAAAGAAGTATTTAGAGTTGAGGTTGGAAGAAAGAACTTTTGTCTAAAGTAATGGTTCAACTCTTAGCCTCATCTTTACGTTGTTGATATCCAAAGAGAGGGAAGGTCATCATTTTCATGCTAAATCATACCCCAAAATTTTTCATTTTTCTCGGATTACTACCATATCCCCTTTGGCTCCCTCTCGAGTTCCCTTAACTTCTTCAAAATAAAACAACATCAAAAATATGTTCATTGATTCCATAAGAGGTACTGTACATTGCAGTTAAAAAACCTATTCCAAATCAACTCTGCGGGGGATCGGAGGTGGAGCTCCCTTGGCGTCAACCTTCAAGAAAGGTTCTTCAGAAGAGTCTTCCCCAGACACACCTACTTGGAAGTCTGGCGCAGTAAAACTAATGTTTTCGCTGGACATATAAGTCATTTTAGATGAGTTGCTGTCAGAGACTGAAAGATAATTTTTCTGTTCATTTGGAAGTTCATTGAAGACCGGTTTACGTTTGGGTTTCAAAGGTGGAGAAGGGATAAGGTCCCGTCTCTGAGGAGGTTCCGGTTTAGGTACTTTCATGGCAGGTTGATTACTTTCAGTGACTGCCACTCCTGATGACTTGGTTTTTGTCCGCGGAGGTGCTACCGGTTTCACTGCTGTCTCTTCGACTCTGATATCATTTTTAGGGTCTTTTTCAAATACAATTGAACGAGGCCTGGGCATAGGAGTTGGTTTGGAAAGAGATGAAGCCCTTTTAATTAGCTCATCTTCGTTATCAGCCGTAGCACGATGTGTGTTTGAACCAGGGAGAACCGAATCTGAACTTTTATCTTCGTCATGTGACGTCTGCTGTGTTGAAGGTTGACCATTTTCGCCTTTTCCATCTGAAAAAGAAAGTTTAATGTATTGCATTACGTAGCGTTACGTAGCGCTACATAGCGTGACATAGCGCTATCACTGTCAGGAAACTTCCTATTACTCAATGCGTTCGACCTCTATGCCCTTGCCACTGAAGGAACAGAAAAGGACGATACCCTATCCAGCGATCGGTTCTCTAGCACTGCCTTGGTCCCGCGTTCAAAGAATATTTAACTCTCTTCCCGGCGATCACGTAACGCTAGACGAAGACAAGGAAGCGTTAGAAAATTAATTCGGCCCGAAATATACATAGTCTAACACCGACTTTTCTTAAGTAAGCATGTATATTTATGATCTATCTTCACTAGCCGGCAACCCTGGCGGTTTTATGGGGGTTGGGAACAACAGGAAGAATGGAAAAGACAAAACCGCTGGCCCGTCACACCTTTTCGAAGCTCAGCCTTCTTCATTTCTGTCTGCCCCCTACTTAGCCTAATTGAAACACCTGCTTTTGTTTCGGCTTTTTCCACCGAGTTCTTACCATCCTCTTTTTCACTGGTAACACCATCAGGCAGCAAAAATGATGGCAGTAGTTTAGGATCATCTTTGGCTGCAAGCAACAAAGCCTGCACGTTATCAGCGCCAATGTGAGCCACATGTTGAACATTAAATGGAACACCAATACCAGGACCCTTGAAAATAAACGTTAAGTCATTATGTCAGCTGATAAACAAACTAATGAAGCCTCCCTCAAAATGGCGGCTGACAATAAAATCATTTATCCATCGTACAACTCTGTTCTTTTATGTATACAGGGTGCATTGACACATAGGACTGGCAGAAAATAAGCAACCTACATGTCAAAATAATCCATCTCTAAAGAGTAAAATTACAAAGGAAATTAATAACAGCAACCAAATGGTGCAAGTCACTGAGTCAGCTGTTATGGTCGCCAACAAAGTTCAGTAACTGAAGGAAAATAGAGGCATTGGTATGGTTTGGGGTATATATTATGTTATTAATTATACAAACAAAATCATGCAACTCCACTAAGTAACAGTGCAGTTTGATTAACGCTCATTTTTCCAAGTGACTAACTTGGAACAATAAGCGTCTCTCTAAAATATCAAAACATTATCGAGCAAGCAACTTAGGGGAATACACAAACTTATAAGCTGAAGGTCGTTTTCTTTAAGCAGCACCATCTTCTTCTTGCCGATTTAAAAGGTCATGTATGGCAAGTGGAATAGAGAGTTACAAAACAGAGTACGCCCAGCTGAGTACCTGTTTGCCTTTCTTGGCGGATGCATGAATGACGTCCACTTTAGGCTTAGGCTTGGGTTTAGGACCCTCCGGAAGGGCCTCAGAGAGAGGCGCTTTAGGGCCACCAACGGCCCTTTTCGGAGGGGCTGGTCGTTTTGGCGGCGCAGGTCTGCTGGGTTTTGAAGGTTTTAAAGATTCCTTCACCAAGGGATCAAAATCATCAAGGGCCCCACCTGCCACAGATTGGCCGGCGTCAACAGGTGCAGAAGCTTCAAGGATCTCCTCGACTTTGTTGACCTGAGCTAAGGCTTTTACTGGAGGTTTGGGTCTCGCAGGCACTGGCCTAGGTGGTGGTGGCCGTTTAGGTCCAGGCTTTTGATTGTCGTCACGTTTAGAGCCTTCGTCTATTAAACAAAAGAGGCGTTTTGGTTTAGGTGAAGCAAAGTTGTAAGTGGGAGATTTTCCACTATTAAGAACGTTTTCAGGCACGAACCAGGATCATGGCGGGATTTCATAAAAAATCGCTACTGTCAGTCTGATGGGAACGACAGTTTCTAATACCAACGTGATAGCGAAAAAAGTTCTTGCCACGAAACGGGCATAAGTACCACCAATAAAATGATTCAACCCACTGTCATGCTCTCCTGAAGTCAAACGATACTTGAATTTCTGAGGGGAATTATTGCCTTAGTATCTCGTTTAAAACTTGAAACAGGTTTGGTGCTCGCAGTCTCATTTTCATCGAATGAAAAATGTCTAGGCAAAATTCTGTGGCAGCGAAGACTTTCCGATAAAACCTCCCTGCCACAAAGGCAGATTGTAACATAAAGCTGCATGACTAAACAGTAGTAAGTTCCTTACCACAGCCTTCGTTGCCGGTCTTCTTCATTTCACGGTCTGCTTCGGGTTCGCTATCATCGTCACTATCATAATTTACCGCATAATTTCCTTCGTCTTCCGGTTCACTCTCGGATTTTTCATCATCCAAAGCTTCTGTTGAATGAATCCTGATTGGTTCCAGGACAGGTAAGTCCACTGACTGCTTTTCTGAGGAGGACGACAACAGATCTGACAGCGCCCGACCTCTGACAGGATTTAACGTAAAATTTCTGTAATCTTCAGAGTTACCACTGAATGAGGACTCGTGGGAGACAAGGTTTTGAACTGTAAGGTCCGTTTTGGATAAGAGCGATTCAGATTTAAGACAAACTTGCACTGTTTTACCAGATATCTGCGAAAACAAAATCGTAAGTGCGTCATTAAGTGAACATGCATTCAACTTGTCAAACTGCGAAACAAGTGAACAAGTTGACGGGTTCTTTTTTCATGTACGATGACGGGAACTCTTACAAAACCGTCTTAAGTAGCTCTGAATCAGTCTGCATAATACTAGACGCGAGATGCCAAGATTAACGCGGAAACGCACCCCTATACATTTGTCATTTGGACGCTATCTTTTCCTTAACGATCATAGTTTTCCTTGAGCTTTGCTTTCGCAGTTTTGAACGAACATACGAGTATATTTTCGTGCAAAATGGAAGCTTTTGTCTTTGCGCCCCAAAATTCTTTAAGAAGCTGCTGTAAGACCCAGCGCCCCTATGTGCCCATACTTCAGGCACAATTCCACATTTACCTAATCTTTACCTCTTTTCCGTCAAGCTCTAAAGCTTTCAAAGCGTTCCGCCCATCATCCATAGTCAAAAAGATTTCGTCATCGACCACCCTGAAAAATACACACCAAACGACTACATCGAGAGCCCCTTTAACACGAGAAGGTTTTCTTCTACAAAGCTTCACAGGAAATTTTCCTGGACGACAAATTTCATTTGTCTGTGTTCTTCCTGTGACTTAAATGCTTGTGCGAACAATAATCATAGTAAGTCGAGTGGTCTGACCGTCCGGTTGAGGTACTCCTGAGAACGACTTTGCTCGGCAACGGAGTCTGATGCTTTGACAACCTGAGCGTGAATCATCTCTGAGTCCACTGATGTGACAACTTCCGATGAGGTTGTTGAAACATCAATCCTTTTTCTCTGAAAAGTCCTTTTCAGTACAACACCCTTGCCCACAAGATCACATAACACCATACGCTGTTACTCTCGGGTTAAAACCACTAACAACCAAAAAGATAAGTTTGATGGTGCTCACTAGTCGTTGCTACAGGCCAATGGTAGTAGCCAGTTAATAAGTAAGTCCTTTTTAAGGTTACTTCCCACCTCCGCGGGTGTCCTTCGGCAACAAATATTCGTACCCGCGCTAGTTTCACTAAAATCCTAGCAAACTATACATCAGAAGAAGACTTAATAAATGCAGTTTACGATAAAAATATGATTTAAGCGAGTTTTCCTTTTAGGAAGTGTCAGGAGCCGATTAAGCGTGAAACGACCGAGGGTTCCTCTATTGAATTTATCGGGTATCAGATGCCGCAGCACAAGCAAAATGGCTGCACAGTCGTATCACAAGGAATCAATCAACAATGGTGCTGTCAGGCTTGTTAGATTTTCTGAATGGTTGTCTAGATATCGACATCTTAAGTTAGAGTAGCTAAAAATATGCGAAGCGTGTTGCATAAATGGACGCCACTGGACAAATGTTTCAAATATCAAAATTTCTCGACACAGTTTCGTTTGTAATTATTTCTGGAATGTTTTAGCGAAATTTGACGAAAATCGACCAAATCTAAATACCCTAGAAATTCGAAAATTCCCCCAGGGGATTCGCCCAGGTACGAGATTACGACATCTTCCTAATTTGACTACCTTTATCTGAAAATAAGTTTTTCAAAGGAACTCGGATGCTTTCGGAGATTTAATAATTTTTTTCTTTTGGAAACCTTAGGTAAAATGTTGAATTCAGTCTAGCCAAATAAAAGAAAAAGTTTATTTTTCGGCCTTTGAAGGTGGGAAGTAACCGTAAGTTTTCTTGTAACCAGTTCGCTACGGCTTATAAAATTTTCAATTTAGTAATTTCTTTTTTTAGACAGAAACGTGGCGTTACCTTACCATTGTCGTCAGTAACTGGGTAATTTCATTCTCACCTCACTAATACAACCGTCCCATAAGGCTCCACGGCATCAAGAAGCTCCGACACATCAATCCCAGCATCCTCTTCAGCTGCATCGTCACTCGTAACCACAATAGTAGGGTCGGCAGGACCCATTGCTCTCATGACATGGTCATGTACGTCACACTGTTTCTTCCAATCAACCTGCTGTATCTCAATCTCTACGAGGGCAACAACTGGCCTGTGGAAGAGTATTAACGTAAACTTGCAGTGGGCACAAATGTCATCATAATTTAGTATGAGCGTAAAATCCTGTTTTTAACAACATGTCTTATACAACTATGTATCACGTTTTGCTTTTCCTTATATGCCTAAACATGTGAAGTTAAGCCAAATAGCTGGAAAAAAACTACACAAAGACCCCAACAATTTTGTTAAATAACCGCTGATCCCACATAGCCAGTAAAGATGAGAAAATTCCCACTTTAAGCTACCTGCTCCATTTAAAGGACAATATATGTACCTGTGATCTGAGGTTTTCAACTCAGCCCGGCCGTAGTATAAAACTTTTCCCGCAGAGAAATTAATTCCTCCCCCTTCATGTGCCTTGTCGCCTTTCTTGTCTAAAAGGGAAAAAAAGGCAATTAGGAAAACAATTAATTACGAGAAGACAGTATAGATCTCTCTATTCCAGTAATATGTCAACAAAGCGAAAAAATGAGATCTACACTTGTAACAGAATCAAAAAAATATGTAGGGGGAATAATGATCAATTGGTGACTTAAAAGACTATCCAGTGTGTGTACTTCATGATTTTTTTATGGCAATTTAAACTCGTTCAAGGAGTTTACGGCCCAAAATAATTCTGACACTATCATGATAGACTCTCCTTCACAGTGGTGACCATCAATAAAAAGTTGTCACAGGATAAAAAGATTTCATACCCCAGCAAGAAAGGACACAATCCGAATTATAAGCGCTGAAAATTTCGAGTCAGAGCGAATCATTTATTGAAGAAATGACCGGTCGAGTATTTTTGTCTAGGAGCTAAAGCACATGGCTTTGTATTCAGCTGCTAGCTGTCAAAAGAGAGTGTGACTTGTCGTCTGCATTATTTTTCACCTTCATTTTCATCCTGATGCTTAATTTCGCCTTTCTCGTCTCCTTTGTCTGCCTCATCCTCATCGTTGCTATCATCATCTTCCCCGTCCCCCCCTCCCATCAGGAGTGATTCATACCCCCGTTCCAATTGATTCTGCTGCGCAGACACATGTTTACGTACTAATGTGGTTGACTTGTACCGAGGCTTTCTCCGTCTCCAAAGTACGCGGTCGGTCCAGGCAGGAATACGCATCTTCTCGCTTGTATCGTAGTCGTCAGAAAATAAGTCGTACTTGTAAGTTGGAGCAAACGCAATTTTTCCTTCATGAAAGGCGCAGAAGACCTTACAAATAAACAAAATATAATCACTGAAAGAAATGACGAGAGAATAGAGTAAAGTTGTCACAACGATTACTTGTGATATCAGTTATTTGCACATGCGCGATAAAGAACTGAACCAGAAGTGCGATTGGGCGGAAATTTCTATCGTTCCGAGGGGCAAACTGAAGTTAGACAATATGGACCTTTTCTGGAATAGATAATCAGTTAAGTTTCCGTACCATTTTAGAGTTGGCACATAGTTTACCTTGTGTTCATTCCTTTGTTTGATAAGTTGATCTTCCTTTAAAAGTTCTTCCCATTGCTTGTTTTTAATCAGTTCTTTCACTTCGTCTATTGGCAGATCAATGCGATAGTTGAAATCTCCACACCAGAATACATAGTCATGTGAGGTCAAGCTGCGACCCTAGGAGGACCATGTAACAACACAATTGTATAGAGTGCATCTTGAAATACTTCGCTAAAGATTTTGGAAAAACAGACTCTTCATTCACAGATAACGTGCAAATTAGTTCGACTTTTTGGGAATAATCAACATGACAAATGACAAAATGAACCTCTGGACCTGGAATCAAGCGATAAAATGACTTAAGGGGATAACCAAGGATACTGATGATTGTCAACAAAAATGAAAAGAAATTAACATAACATAACAAAAGGTCTCTGTTATTTGAAAATAAATAAAATAATGCTTAGTAGAAACTACAACTTTTTTTTGAAAAAGTGGAGCCTGTAAAGCAGTCATTTCAGCCACTTCTTTAGCCTTATCAAGAGATAAGCGAGTGAAAAAAAACCGCACAAAGGCTTAAGACACAAGAGAGGAAAAAAAGAACGAGCTGCCACTGTTCTTTGCTCGCTTCCGCCAAATCCTTTCGCACGACTACCGCTGGCTAAAAGGAAACTGATAGGACTGTTAGATATTCTTCAACAGAAGCCAGGCAACACCTTAGTAAGTGTAGCGTTTCTCTCGACACTATGGAAAATAACTGTTTTAATGTTTACACCCAAGAACCAAAAATTTAGATTATATCTGCCAATATCCCAAAAAATTGTAAAAAATTTAACTCCCAAAGCGCAGTTTTGTCTCTTCGGCGGCTTAGAAGCAAATCGAAGATGCCAATCACTCCTGAGAAAGTCGATCAGGGCGCATAAAGCAGAATACAATAGTGTGCCGGGTACATACTACATCCTATTGCATGTTTTCTCACCATGGGAAAAGCTATCCTTGATGTAATATCGTGATAGTCACTGTTCCTATCGTTCACACCCGACTGACCGGCAGCCAGATGTGAGCAAATAAAACAGATGGAAGTGGCGTGAAGTAACAGACGGATGGCCACGCCTCCCTTGTTCCCAGCACTTCCCCCGAGGCCTGTTTTCACAGAATGGACAGCCACATCTCTGAAATAAACCATAGTACGTGCTCGATTCCTTTTGGCTTTCAGTTAGCGCTTTATTCACAACAAGAAAGACTGCGTTTACGTAAAAATAAAAAGGTGTCATGATGGAGGATGGAAAATATAATCTGCCCTGTCGTTATGGAATTCTTTAGAATGCGGAAACGTCAAGGGTTGTAATCGTTGTTTTTCTTCCAAGATTGTCCCTCTGGATTGGTCTTTGTGATATCAAGACGTAAGCAATATTGAAACTTAATTATGATTAAATGCTTCTCGAGGACCCACTCCCCCCCAACAAGTGAAAAGACTCTGTACGAACTTTTGCTTACGTTTCCTAACCGTCGCGAATTCGACAAATCACCCTCTGATATAATCATCTTGAATAGAAGATAACATAGAAGAGTTTAATCACCTGATGAATGGGACCAGATGAGGCCGAATAAACACAAACATACAAACACCAACCAGCTGCTCACATGTCACCAGAACATACGCATGATCACGTGATACGATACGGCGCAGCTCCTCGCCCCATTCCTTACGCTGATTTGAACTGAAATTGTTAAAAAAAGTATCTTAAGTGGAAGTACAAAATAAGAGTCCTTTTATCACTTAAGACTCCAATATAACTGAGAGTATAAAGAATATAAATATAGATGATTGTCATACAAAAAAAATAGAAAATAGCATTATTAAAAATAGCGGAAATGACTCTACGTGGGTCATAATGCTCTATTTCTTTCCAGTCTGTGGATAAAGCCATTCTTCAATTAGCTGATGGTCGTAATCTGTTCGGTCCAGTACAACAACTCCGTTCCCTTTGTCAGGTTTTAAAATGACAATGTTTTTGTTCTTCCTTAGCTCCTTAAGAACTCTGAGTTCCTTGAGGTCGGCAGTCGTGGAACGGTATAAAGAAACATAAGAATAAGCCAAATGAGAAAGATCCGAAGCAAGTTTTTTTGCTTGTTTGGTGTCTCTCAAGTTCTTGGCCATGGTGTGGTTGATGAGCTCAAAGCATGTGAAGACATCTGACTCATATATTTTTGGTAGACGGATGGAATGTGATAATCCAAATTTGAGAATGTTAAGTTGTTCTGATGTGAGGCTGAGGGAGGAAATGTTGGTGACAGTCTCATTTGATGTAAAGGGAAGAGACGTGTTGCGAGTGAGATTTTAAAGCTTCTTCTGGTGAGTCTTGATAAATTGAGCGGTTGCTTTAATAACGGTGTGATGTAATGCCCGTTTAAGAATATAAAAGTCAACACTGTTCAGGACACTTTGGACATGAGTAGTTAACTGATCTCTAGCGTGGATCAATTTTCGAAGTTCCTTGGAGCGTTTGGCGATGGCACTTTTCAAAAGCTGCTTACGTATGGTGATAGTGTCGTGTCGGTTGGTGTTGGGAAGATTGAAGCTAAGAAACTTAGGAAAAACATTGAAAGATTGACAGTTGCGTAGGAAGCTTAAATCCAACTCAGCTTTGCAGGATTTGATCGAGATCATCTCAAATTTTCGCAGATCAGCTTTCCTGCTATGTCGTGAATGATGTTTCCAAAGGGTCTTGATATTAGCAGGCAAGTCAAGAATTTAAAGAAAGCGGCAAAACTTTTGAGTTCGTAAAACATGTTTCGACAGAAACTTCTGTCATCTTCAGTTAATTACTATACAAAGCGTTGAAAGTTGAATTATATAGAAAGTAGAAATGTGCTAATTAAGATGAATAGTGACAACAAGAAGAGAGGTAAAGCACGCAAGTGTGAGAATTAAAAAGATAGTTTTAGATTTACATGGTGTAATTATCGATTCAAAGATGGTTGTTCTCTTTGAATATGAATAGCCTCTTTTATCTTAAGCTGAAAACCGGTAGAGGCGTGATCTAAAACATGGAAGTTCTCTGCTGAACACAAAGCGCGACGGTGCGGAGAATCTTTCAAATGCCTGAAAATGTGAGAGGCCCTATCACCGACTAAGTGCTCTCTAACACGTGTGGGAAAATGCCGGCAGGTTTCACCGACGTAACAGGCATTACAGCCAGCACACACAAACTCAAAAGTTTTGTCGCTTTCTTTAAAATCTTGACTTGCCTGCTAATATCAAGACCCTTTGGAAACATAATTTCATTAATAATGACCGACTTTAGGAGACATTCGAAAAGATTACCAAACAATTACCTGGTTGAAACAATATTTGATGCATTCAAGTCAACCAGCTCCTCAAAGCCTATAGCAAAAACATCTGTGGGTACTTTAAAATTGACATCACCACTTTCTGAATAACCGCTGTCCGGAAGTGTTTCGTGAAAATCTAGCAGCCAATCATGCATTGTTTGGTGTTTGTGAGCGATACTCCGGAAGTGTTTCCCTCCGTTTACATTCCATGTGCCGACACAGACCCGTAGATTGGACCACGTGGTGTATTCAAGATGGCGATCGCACAGCTCCCGTAGGATCATGGGTGATGCTGGGGAAAGAGAAAGCAAGTTACGGAAAGGAAATTTCACGTAATTAGCACAGTTTGGCACTTCCCCGACCGAAATGCAAATGCAAAAGAACGGACTTTCTATTACTTTACCGGGGTGTTAACCCTTTACGGATGATTGAGGAAAAAAAAGCAGACTTCTCGTGTCATTCCTATGTTTCACTGTTCTTGTGTCATCCCTGCATACCTAGTCATTTTTTTCGTTGATAAAATGCGGTCGCTTTAATTCACGATAATTCGTAAAACTTTCACGATTTTTCGTTGGATACAAACCCAGGAAACAGAACATCAAGGATGCCAGGTGGGGTCATGTAACTTACAGTGAAGAAACGAAGCATACAGCAACGCACGTGCCCTTTCACCCAACTCTCCAACAAATGCGTTGCCTAGCAACAACATGTCAATGGCCTCTTGTTTGCTTCCATCCAAGAAATTGTTGACGATGGTTCTGTGGACTGAGCGTGCACCATCTCGTAGCTTGTTGATCACCTTTGAAAGACAGAAAAAAAACTTCTCAACCAACCAGATGCACAACACTAACCTAATATGGCCTGGTAAGAGAATATAATCTCTTAGGTTGACCAGTCGGGTTTTTTCGCGCTTCAAGCATATATTATTACCTTCTGACTTCCTGCGATATTTACCTTTTATGATTGGTCGTTGTTATCATCGTAATTTTTGAAAAAAAAACTCAAGCTTAAATCCTTCTATTTCATGTACATTTACAACACATCAACTGCTTATTTGTCAGCCATTAACTTTCTCCTACTATACGAAATGAAATTTCATTTTTCCCTTGTTTTTGTCACCATGATCTCCGCCTTCTTTTTTCTTAATTAATTCATCATGAAGAGACTATAAAATGTTTATAATCTCTTGTTCATCATTCGCCCTACCTTGGCTTTGCCATCTAAGGCCCCTGTGCCAAGGTAGATGCGGCTGATATGGTCGCCATTTTGTGCCCACATGGTACGGAAAGCCTCCTGAAATCTGGACAGCATTCCTTGTTTGCTTGTTAAACCAAGGAATTCTAACTGCTGCGATAACATCTGCAAAAGGAAGACATTAAGTCTAAACACAAGCTTAGCAGCCCATCTTATCCCGATTTCTGTAGTATTAGGCGTCTGGAAGTAATGCCTCTCTTCTGGAAAGCTTTCCTGTGAGTTATCCCTCATTGGTGCAGAGGCACGAGCCGGGAAGCCCGCAGGTTTCGAAGCGAGCGAGGACTGTGTGGAGTCCGGCACGAAAACTGATTTTAAGCATTACATTCCTCACAACTTCGTTTAAACTCGTTTCGCTCCTCGTTTCGAATTTTAAGGGTTTCGCCGCTCATGCGCAATGCTAATGATAGCCTGCTCATAGGCTACTTGAATGCAATTTCATAGCAAGTAACCCCTGCCCTCTCTTTCCTTAAAAGCATTCTACCAGGTTTCTCCCGCAGTTTGTTAGTACGTTTTTGAACTATTAGGTGTTAAAGGGCCTCGCTTTTTGTCTAAACTGACTTTAGAGGACTTAAGAAGAGAGGTTTTTTTGTGTGGACGGGCAACCGGGAGAAGAATGAAACTAATTCTGGCGCTCAAACGCTTAAGTATCGACCCTAAGGTCTTTGTTTCTGCATTTTAAACCAAACTGTACCGACCAAAAATGTGTATTGAACACAATCAGCCGGTCTAGTCTCCACCCCTCATCTTTTTATCCAGATTCCACCACAACAAACACTAGGAAAGCGCATTCCCTGTTTGCTTGTTGGATCAAGACATTCTAATTGCTACTACTAAAACTGTAGAGGCTAGGAGAGATGCAGTAAACAAAGTTCGACCGTGACAGCCTAATAACACAAACATCAGACGAATTGGCAACCACGTTCAAGTGAACAGCGACCTGAACTACTCCTTGAAAACTAACACTCGAATATAAATTGCAAGTGTAAATTGCACACCCACTGTGAAGTGATTCCAAAATTAAAATCAGAACACTTTGCAATTGATTGTCCTGGAAGCAAAGCCTAATTACTTGTAATCTAAACGGTCAAGCAGAAAGACAAACACAACACGGGAAAATGCGAGAGCCCAACATCTGTCGATTCTATTTTGCATCCACTGGTTGAGAGGGTGAATAAATTTCTTTTCTTAACCAATAACAGAACATAAAGAAGCAATTCCACCATATGAATTTCTTTGAACGTTTAATTACAGATTCATCGTTAAATTCAACATACCTCAAGTCCCAAATAACTCTGCACACTGTTGGTACGATCTATGCAATCGATACAGTTTGTGCGAACAGCTCCTTTTTGTTTCCTGAGGAAGACACAGTACAAATGACTAATAGTAATTAGGAAAAGACAAACGCGAAGGAAACAGCTATTTTGCACGGAAAGATTTCAGCAAGACCCCCTATGGTGAATGAAAAAGAGGTGATTCTTTCGTTATCATTTCAGCCTGAGAACTACTTCAATTACGAAATTAAGGTAAATTTCCTAAATTCGGTTTGAAGACTCAAGATACTTTTGGAGGGTGATAAATGCTATTTGAACTATGAATTCACTGAGAAAAAGATTATTAATAGACAAAGAAAAAGCACCACACTTTTTAATGTGATCTCCTCTAGCAAAGAACAAGCCAAACTCGTCAAGAGAAGGTCGCGCCTTTTCCTTCAGCGCCGATAGCTTGTCCAGCTTCCCACCTCGGCAGTTTTGATGATAGTCAAAGCAAATCATGCGAGTCTCCCGGCCATGAATTGAGTCTTTCAACTGATCCTGAAAATGAATTAAGGGTTCAATCAAATATAGTATTTGATCCTTGGAGAACCACTGTCTAAAAAAGGTGCCACGTCTATACTTTAGGAGAAAAATTACACAAAAATCTTTGAAATCCTAAACTTGATTAATCTTTTAAGTCTCCTCACATCTACAAAGCGCTATTCAGCGAAAATGTAACGAGATTGAAAAACCTACAAGTTCGATAAAACTGTCTTGATTTAAAACGAAATTCTGAAAACTTAATTACAACTGAAGGCAAACCAACTAGAATGACTCGATTAGCTGGTGGTTTTGTTGACAATCAATGGAAACGATGAGGAAGGCAGAACTGCGGAAACGAACAGCGGAGCTTTAGGTGTAGAAACCAGTTATCGAAGCAGCCACTTTTGAAAACTTGCACAGCGACTCAATTTGACCAATGATATCAACCGCATGCCACATGGAACCTCACGTCACACACGTTTAAATCAAACCGCATTCCCATGCTTGATTTCGCTGAGTTTTACTGCCAGCATAGAACTAAAAGGGACGAGAGCCCATTGAACCAGAGAGCTTTATTACCTGGCATTTTTAGCAACGCATCCAACCTCCGTATGAGAGGAATCACAACTATGTAAGATTTGTACCTGATATGCACTGCTAAGTGTGTTTTCACCTTCTTTTGTACCAAGCAAGTTCACAAGCAACTGTTGACCATAAAGATTCTTTAGGCTTGTCAAATGTCTGTAACAAATGAACAAAAAAGCGATTAAAACCTTGATTGTCAATTCAGAGTAAAGAGACTACATTTATATCATTATGCATGGTATAAGGATATCTAAGTGAAATATTAGAATATATTTCTTCCTCACACTTCTAAATTTGATGATAATAAAACGGCTTTCTGGACAATTCTACAATGTTAGTACCCCGATATCACGCTCAGAAAACCATAAAACCCTGAAATATGTCTGGAAAGCTCACTGCCTTGTGACCGATCATTTGGAAGATTATTACCTTGCTACTGTTATCATAACAGACAGTAGCAAGGTAAACTCTCTGGCACAGAAATCTTAATAATGATAGTAGCTAGGTTAAGTCTCTTGTACAGAAATCTTTATGAGACTTTAAAGACTTTACCTTGCTTCTGTTATCATTGAAATTTCTGTACAAGACTCCTGCATGTTAACTGAGGTCTAAGGTTGTATTCCTCATGGGAAATTCGTATTTCTTCTTTGTTCCGTGCTTGTGACCAACCAAATCACAGTCTCTCTTTATTGAACTAATGTAACACTTTTTTGGAGCGTTTTTATCTAACCTGTCAAAAGCAGGTGAAGATGCTTCAAACCCTCTGGAAAGTTTGACTTTGTGAGAACCAACCTTATGAAATACAAATAAATATACTGTTATAGCATCACTTTTTGTGGTTCAATGGTCGATACATATTATCTTGCTTAGTTCTACATTCATCAATGAAAACCCCACAATACATTTCTTTTTTTTCACACCAAGAACCACTGGATATAACTTATGAAATAATTGTGTAAATGTAGAGCAAGTATCATATAATAGCTCTCTTTTACATAACAAATTTATCTACATTGCCTCTCATTACCAAAGAAAATTGAATAACTCAATCTAACGAAGCAATTCTATCTCTGAAATTTTGCAGGAAATTAAGTCACACTAATTTTAAAGGGCACTTGTATCACTCCTGCCTAGGAATTTGATTGATCATTTTTATTCTTATATTCTTTTCATAGTCTGATACATCTATATACTCTATTAGGATCCTCACATATTCTATATATTATCTTACATATTTTATGCTATATTTTTACCTATTTTCCCTAACTTATTCTTTTTGTTTTGTTGTCAAGCGTTTCGTACACGAGCCTCATTGCTCAGATGATTGAGCGACCACTTCCCACGTTGTTGACAATAAATACATGATTACATATTACTACTAAAACCCTGAAAATTGTGAAAACACAAGAATCCGTAAATCAAAGGAAATTAAATTATATGGCCATTTATCTTTAATTTCACAAGACCTTGGTTTAAAGTCCTTTATAATTTGTAATAACTGCTGAAACACTGTTTTAGTGAAAAATTGAGACAACCACAATAAGTGTCTTTTACAATTTTACTTTTGATTTCCATTTCTTTAATTGTTTTGTTCAAAATGAAAGCAACTGCTATCAGTGTTTGGTGATAATACCTGCAAACCAGGCTGCTCCCAAAAGACTGGTACTGAACCTCGAGTTTGGACAAAAGATGTTGTCATGTCCTCAAGCACAATAAACTGTTATGACATGCAGAAATGGTATTAGTAAGGAAACTAGATCAAAATTAACCCAAGTCAATAATCATTGTTAGTTGCTATTTTCTATGATATTTCTAAATACTGCATATGTTTTGATTGGGTTCTTTTTATGATCATAAGAGGACAAAGATATACAAAATAATCAACTTTGGCTTCTTTAATTTATAAGTCATACATGTGTTCAGTAATAGGACACTCAATTGATTGCACCTTGTATGCCACTAGTTTTTTTCTTATCACATTTTGACATCATCTGTGATCTATTACAGAACAGAGACAACTTAACATAGAATCTCTCTGTTAAATGATTTAACTGTCTTGGGACTTAAAGACAGTATTATCACACCTCAGAAAAGAGAATTGGCATGAGATTGTGTGCCATAAAATTCCATCATAGGAGCAAGGGACACAGATGATCCAGTCAGTACCTGTTCAGTTTCTACAAAATTTGCCACATGCCCATCATCATTTGTGCCTCTGACATAAAACCTTGTTCCTGCTCTCTCAGAACTCAGTCTAGACATGATACAAGCTTTAGCTTGAGTTTTTCCAGCATACACAGTTCGTATTTCCACTGCACCACACATAACCCGTAGCAGCCATTGTGAACAGTCAATTCCAAACCTCTGTAGGTGAATGTGTAAGCAGCGATTCCTACTCAGTAACAGAAAAAAGAGGATTACACTAGACTCAACACAATGAGGGATGTAGTGGCCTAATGGTTATTGACCTGGGCTTAGCATTGGAAGGTCTGTGTTCAAGACCTCCCAGGTCATTGCACTGTGTTCTTTCATAAGACACTACTTTCATAGTTCCTCTTAGCATCAAGAAGGGCAAGTGATTACCCCAACATGGTCAGGAAGGCTGATGATGCCTGGAAATAACTTGCCACGGAAAAGCATCTTTTCCAGAAGAAGTACCACCAAAAACGTTGAATTTAATCAAATAAGCACTGCCCCCTAAATAAGGGCCTCCTTTAGATAAGTGCCTTACTTGGGACAAAAAAGTTAACAAGCGTCACCCCTAAATAAACGCTGCAATGGCAGTGTGATGCTGTATGTAGCACTGCTTACCAAGAGTCTAGGCAGGTCAAGAGGTTCCCTCTATAAGATACTATCTTAACAATAAAAATTACTGGGTAGCACTTACCAGAAAAACCTGTTATCAGGTTCACAGCTCTCATATCTTCTCTGTGCACACAATGTCAAATCCAATGGTTGCTGATCTCCAGAACAAACAGAGAAATAAAATGTTCCAGAGTTTAAAAACTTGCGTAGTTCAGCAAGAATCTCCTCATCTTGACCATCTTGCAATGGAACCAACTGAGTGGCATTGATACGAAATATTTCATTGTCATTTATCTTTCCTACTGATGTACAGCCAGTAACAAGAACAAGAAACAAACTTATCTCCTGTTCACCTACAAGAAAAAAATATCCTCAATGAGATGACTTGATCCAGGAGGCCTTGGTCAGAAATAATTAATAATTAGGGGATACTCATGATTAAGATTCAGAAAATTTCCTCAAGCCAGTGATCATTTTTATATCGCCATCAAAGTTCTTATTACACTTGCTCCCTCTAAAGGCACAATTTCAAATATGTTCATGATTGTGCCACGCCATAGTTTTCTGAGCTTGTTCTTTTTCATTTGGTTTCTTCGCTGTGGTTGCAGTAATGATGAATTGTTTTCTGCGGATCACACCTGGTTGCCTGGGGTCCATCCTTGACAGTTGTGCTTGTTTCAAAGTCTCCATCTACTTCAGAAAATCAGATATTTTTTGTTGGGGCAATTCTCTCTTGGACAAATGCAGTTGGAGATGCAAATTTTACAGACCAGAATACTCACAATAGAACCTATTTTGTTAATGATTTCTCATTGGTTCTCCTGCCGACTTGGAACACCAACAACAATAGGACTGTCATTAATAATGGAACCTTCTGCATTAACAAGAACTTTTTGTCATATTTTTGGGATCAGAATGTCAAGATCAAATGCCATAAAATTATGTGTGCATATTACTTAAATTTAACAGCGACATTCCATTGTTTTCTTGTGAACAACTAAGTATTTAAGCTCAATCCTTGTCCTGAGAACAATGATAATTTATCTACATTCTGTTCAAATGGTATTCGAAAAAACACCTCCATCTATATGATCAAAAAACTCATCCAACCTCATTGTGATGAATTGCTTGCCTATGGTTAAGGATTTTAAACACCCATTGTCATTCTGCTTAATGAACACTCAATCTATGACAAATAAATCAGCTGACATTTTCAACTTTGTTTGTGAACATAAAATTGACCTGCTTGCAATCACAAAGACTTGGTTAAATGTAAATGATGATGCAGTAAGAAATGAGTTGCCTCTGACAAATTACAAGCTTTGTGACCATCCCTGCACTGATCGTACTAGTGGTGGAACAGCTCTTCTTCCCTGAGACTCACTTCATGTGAAAAAAATGAATGATGATGTATTGCTTTATCACAGTGCTGCTTTCTATATTATTGATCACAGCATTCTCCTTAACAAATTATCATCAACTTGGTTTGAATGGCACTGCCCTTGACTGGTTCTGATCTTGTCTGGCTGCTCCCAGTGAGTCTCAGTGCAGAGAGCTGTATCTGATGAGTTTGACCTGTGGCATCATGTTCCTCAAGGTTCATGCCTTGGCCCACTTCTCTTTACAGTTCATGCAAGCGCACAGTTCAATGTCGTGGAAAAGCACCTCCCAACTGTTCATTATTATTGCCAAAGACTCACAGTTAAACATCTCATCTGATCCCATGGCACACTCTGCCCAGGCTGATGCAGTTGCTTCTATTGAAGATTGCATTCAAGACATCAGGCAATGGAACAGAACTTCTTTTGATCAACACCAGACGGCAACTTGCTAAAGTCACAATTGATGCAGCCATAACTACTGCCTTAATTACTGGATAATCTATCATTGCTCTACAATCTACCATTCAGAATCTGGGTGTGGTTAGATTCTAACCTATCAGTGGGTGATCACATAACGAAAACAAGCTCTGCGGCATTCTATTATTTGTACTCTATCAGGACGATAAGGAAATATCTAAGCAAAGAATGTACGGAAACTCAGGTACATGCCTTTATTTCCAGCTGCCTTGTTATATGGCTTACCAGCATATAAGATTCAGAAACTGCAAAGAGCCCAGAACTCTGCTGCACGCCTTGTATTCAAAGGAAGTAAATTTTGTCATATTACACCATTGCTAAGAGCCCTACACTAGTTACCCCTAGCATACTGAATAGTTTTTAAAATTTTATTGTTAACTTTTGAGGCCATTCGTAAACTTGCTCTGACTTACATTTCCCAAATTGTATCTCTGAAAGATACTATTGAAGATCAAATGACCAAAAGTGAGTGAAATGTTAGGAATTAAAGTACAGAGTGGCAGTTTAACTATTATACAATACAGCATGAGGAGCACAAAGAACTAAAATAAACAAATTACTTACAAAATTAATAAAATGACTTACCCAGATTAATTTTGAGTACTCCCAGACAGCCATAAGCATCAAAAACCTTTGAATATCCTTTCTTGATACTCTCTGTTTCCCATTGTGCTGTGAACAAACAGAAATAACATGAAAATTGTAGATCAGGCATCTCATTAGGGTGAGCCAACATTATAAGTTTGCGATTGTTTATCAAACTGGCCATGTTTGATTTGAAGTTAGAGTGGACGGTGGGGGTAGGGGGCGGGGAATGGCAAAAAGACGCCTGCCTGAAAAGCAAAACACCCCCTGATTAGTTGTGCACCACTGTATTCCAGAAATTAGCACGTAACCAATCAAAATGAGTTAAATAAAAAAACTGGAGGCACTGTCTTCCTACAAAAAAAAAAAAACACAGAAAGAGCCAATGAGTGAAATGGTGAGGCAGTTACTTCAGCCAGAAAAGAAATGGCTTTGACAAAACCTCCTCCGCAGTCATAAATATGAGCTGATATATCTGCTGTGCTCTATATTTTCTAAACAACAATCCTTGAGTATAGCTGTCATTATCTATTTGATGATTTTTTGAAGATACTTTTTCCATTTGATCATAAACAATACTTTGAAGCTGACAAATGACAACAACACTCGAAGGTTTCCCCATCATTATTTCTTTCATATAAACCAATACCTGAAATATCAGGCTTTTTTCAAAGCCAGTTGGCAATACAGCAGGTAGATCCTTTCCTAAAATCAGTGTAGGGATTGCTTCTTTTTGTTCCAATTAATGTGTGAGACATACCAAATTCTTAGAGACACTTAAGTGCTTCCTCAAAAACAGAATCAAAACTAACAAATTCACCATCAACAATTTCTTTCTCCTACAAGAGTATAATGTCTGAATGACGCATTTGGCTTGTGATTGACAGCTTAACCACACCAATTGGGAACTCCATTCATGGGCAAACAGAGTTTTGCAAAATAACAATGACCTTGTACAAGCATAATCTTCACTCCCGCACCCCCATCCCTCTAGTTATTTCTGGCTATGGACTGCTCCCTTAGTACAAATTTCTTTCTCTCCCCAGCCTTCCACTGCCATTAAAATTAAAGATGGCAGCAATATCTGTTACATCTGACATCCAACTACTTGAAAACACCGCCCTTCCTGGTTTCTTGCCACCACCGGACCAACCACCAACTATAACCACCTCAGCTGTATGTCATAAGCTACATGGTCTTAGTGCCTACAAAGCCACAGGGCCAGATGGCATTCCCACACACCTCCTCAAAAAAAATTGCACCTGAGCTTGCTGAACCAGTAACTGTGATCTTCAATCACTCAGCGTCATCTGGCGTGTTTCCAGAATGGTGGAAACCTAACACATATCCCAAAGGTCAAACCAGTTACGGGTGACAGGGACTTGCAACCTATCGCCTTGACCCTTGACAAACCCGTTCCCCCAATGCTCTCTATCAATAATTTACCTCTATAGACAGTTTCATCTTACAAAATTCTCGGTCTGACCCTGTGTGACACCCTGAGGTGGAACGATAATAACAACGACATCTTCTCCAAAGCATCCAAGCAACTGCACATTCTTAGGGTCTTGAAGTGTGCTGGGGTCCCTCCGGTGGACCTTGTCACCATCTATAGCGCCTTGGTTTGCTCTGTCCTAGAATACTCTTCCGTTGTCTGGGCTACCTGCCTTCCTCACTTCCTCATTGACCAGCTAGAAGCTATCTAGAAGAGGGCTTTGCGAATTGTTTATCCTGACCTCCACTATCAACAGGCCCTTGCGCAAGCCATTACCAGTTTAGAGCATAGACGCGCCCATCTGTGTCTCAAAGTGTGGTAAAATATCAAAAATAACCCAGCCTGCCAGCTGCACTGTCTCCTCCCTCCTGTGCGATCCAAATGCCACTCTCACCATATTAGGAACAGTAGCAGTTCTAGCTGTTTTCAGTATAAACCAAAACGCTTTGGTTCTAGTTTTTTCCCAGCAATGGCAAAAATCAACTAATCAATAGGACTCTGGTTATTTTTTATTATAGTATTTTACCCATATCCAAATTGTAAATAATTTATAAATAGCCTGTAATCCCAGTCCCTTCAAAACAAATGTAACTTTATTTCTTGTATCATGTAGGCACACTGTAATTCACAGTTTTTATGCCATTGTGTGTATTTTAATAAACCATTATTATCATTATTATAATTTCCATTAAAAAAATACTGAGCACTTGCTTGCCAAAATTACATCTGCTCTGCACACTAAAACATTCCATGATACTCTGCATCTGTTCACTAACAGATCACATATCTTTATAACAACTTTATGTAAATAGTAATAATATATATAATATATTATTATTAAAAAAGGGTTATAGAGGGAAGGAACTTATCCTCATTGCAAACTATATCCCAGATATAAATATTTAGTACTATGCAATATACATAATTATACACACTGAAACATTTTACATACAAGCATATATCTATATAAATATAAAATCTAAGTAAAGAAGTCATTTCTAAGATAAAAATTCTGTTGAAATGATGAATAATTAAATGATGTATAATGTATAGAATAACTTAATTTTGTACTTATAGGCCTAGTTAAATAATGTTGATTTTAGAGCTTTCTTAAAAGTATTCATTAGGTCAAATTCAACTACTGATGATGGTAAACTGTTCCATGTGTCGATATATCTGTGCCAAAAAGAATACTTAAAGATATCTGTACAGCAAAATGGTTTATAGAGTTTAAACTGATGACTTTCTCTTGATTGCCTGTTACTGAAGGATATGTAATCATTAGTGTTTACAGAGTAGTGTCCTTTAATGAACATAAAAAGCTAAACCAAACTAAGAAACTCTCTGTGTTGAACTAGCATCAGTAGTTTCAAGGATTTCAGTAACATTCCTTTGTACACATTCAAGTTTTTCAAACAAATATGTTTGGTGAGGATTCCACACTTGACAGGCGTACTCGAGTATTGGACAGATCATGGCTTTATAACCAGTGAAAAGAGCCTTAGAGTGAGATCCAAATGTCCCCTTGAGTAAGCCCAATAATCTGTTCAATCTTGCAACAACAGACAGTAAATGGGGTTTCCAAGATAAATCATTGGAAAGAACCACCCCAAGATGTTTGTGTGTAGACACCTGGGTAAGTAGCTAGCTATTAATAGTGTAGTTGCACGGAGAGGGAGCTCTAGCCCTGGTGAACTTCATGGACTTGCATTTGTCAGCATTTGCTCTTAAAAGCCACAAGCCACACCAATCAGTGACTTTATCTAGACTCTCCTGGGCAGTGATGGATGTTTGAGAATTGGAGGGCAGCTTACTCAAGCAAACATTTGGACATATCAAGTCAGAATGTGGTGAGAACAAAAAGGTGGCATATGAGAAACAGCTACATAACTAGCCAATTTTCAGGCCTTGATTCCTCAATAGAAAATACTAAGTTAATTTACAGAACAGCAAAGTTTTCAAAGACTGTGAACACCGGATGTTGTTGCATTACATGAATTAAAAGTGATAGAACTATTCTTTCATTTAAAATTATTTCTCGCATATTTCTTTTGAGAATTTTTCACCCATCACTGCCTCACTCAAAATTCTTTTAATCGCTGCATGGCCTTACATTACTTCAAGATCCCTTTATAGGCATTCGGATATTTAGATTTGCTTTGCCAGACCCTATATAAATAAAGGTTAAACCCACGCCTGCTAACGATCACTCCTTGGTTCCATATAAAGGACAGACAGTTGTTAATTGTCTGCGCTATGCAAATATCATCAGATGCATTCGATCGAAACAATTTAATTTAAGTTGGTTTGATCAATTAAAAGGAACGTCAGAACGCGAACGAGAAAGAGTTTTAGAATAGTGCTAGTGGAGATACATGTCAGGTGCCGATTTTCTTTGAAAAACAAAATAGCCATAACGTCATTCTTTCCGGAAACAGGGGAAAAGATCGCATAAAAAAAAATTTGTTACTTACACAGCTCAGCGATTGCCCCACTCTCAAAGAGTAGTGTATCAGGTCTCCCTTTGAATTCCAATAACACGGAGACAGGATCTTTGTCTATCTTACTATAACAAACGAACGACTTTCCAATCAACATTCTCCACGGCGTCCAAGAGGATCGTGTTCGCTCTAAGAAATAGGAAATGCCGGTAAAAAGAAAAACTGTTTACAATTCCACACCTCTGTCTTGTCCGCCATCTTGTATACTAATTCCGCAGACCAATGTGATTGGTTTGTGATTGGACGCACGGTTGGATGAGGAGGGAGACGGGGAGGGGAATGTGGGGTGGACGGGGGACGGGGAACGGGTGGGAAAGGAGGAATAAGGATAGAGGCCGCTTTAGTTCACCCGGGTGACGGGATGAAAAAGAAGGAATAAGGGAAGGGGCCGCTTTAGTTCACCCGGTTCTACCAATAGGGTTACATGGAGTCTCAAAGTGAAAGAGTACGTGCCGCTAGGTCTTTGAGGAAAAACAGATGATACAATTGATAATTGGTTTATGGTGTAGATGCACTTTGGAAATTAAATTTGGAGAACACAAGAAAATCTGAAGAGTCACTTAAGGCGAATCCAAGGGCAACTCTCGCTGCTAAAGGGCTTACCAAACTTTCTGCGTGTATTCTAACCTTGATATAAGCACGCTGAGTACGAAACAATTCTTTTATAGAAAGAGGACACACTGGTCTTGTTAGATCGATGGTTTATCAGGAATATTGTCATGGAACATTCTTTTAGCAAGTTGGCCATCTGTGATCGGTTCTTTGAATTGGTTGAAGAATACAGAGACGAAAAACGTCGAATTAAAATACTAAAATTTAAGCGTAGTTTTTGCTTGAAAAATGTCCGATACCCAAAGGAAGGTTTTGACTCCTCACATCGATGTCAATGTTGCCTTTCAAGATGCATTTGTCTAGGAGAGGTTCCAGAAAACTTTCAGTTTTCTCAGCGGCCGCAAGACTTAAATTTTCGATTGAAAGTTCAACTGCAGATGAAGATACTCGTGACACCCGCCGATAATTGACTATAGGGAAATTAAGCAATCTGAACTCGTGGCTGAACTAGACGAGAACTTACTGGTGAAATGCAACTTCCCATTCAACATCATGTCAGATAATTTAGTTTTAATAACTGAGTTGATATTGTAAATTGACTACCGTAAGGGGCCGGGTTTCTGAAGCTGACGCTTTGGGCGTTAGCCCTTCGTCAGAGAGATTGAATCACGTTACACTGACGTTCGGCTGAGCGTTCTTAGCTAAGTAAACCATGATGGCTTTATAAAGGCCAGATAACACAAGCGCGGTATTTGATATGCAATGAGCCCACTGTTATTTCACAAAAAAATTATAAAAAGTTTATAATCTGTTGTATTTCATGAATAGACAACGTACCAGTGAGTGTAAGCTATTTAATGGCCTAGTTTTTTCAATTATATTATGGTTTAATTAAAATGCTTCATGAATTCATTTTTACCAACAGTGACCAGATGATTAAATTTTTCACTAAACCTGAAAAATATAAGGACAGATTTGAAGTGTCTTCTTCCCCTTTCCTACGGATCAAGTTATCTTTTTATTTAGTTTAACATAACTCTTCAATCCCTGTATAAAGCAGTCATGCAAGTGAATTAGCTTAGGAAAAACCACAGTAATATTTAAAGGTAAAGAGGACAAGCAGATCTATTATATACATCACAGTGTCAGTGTATGGATAAATACAGCAATAACAAATAAAACTTTATCTTTTGAAATAGTCATCACCGCAAAAATTTCGACCAAGATGAATCACACGACGGTCTCTTTCATTCCCAGCAATAGATTCAGCGCAGAGGAAATTGTGGTTTTTGGTTTGTTGGGGCTTCTTATTGTATTAGGAAACACTGTGAGCATTATAATGTTCTGGAGAAGAAGGTTCTTCACGGAAAGATCATCGATTCTATTGATAAATCTCAGTGTTGCTGACTTTATCGTTGGCTTGGTTGTCATTTTTACAGTAATTGTGGGGAACCTTTTTCTACAAGATGGCAGTAACGGCGTTAAGAATATCCCAATAACGATCATCATCCCATTTGACGTGTTTTCTGGGTTAAGCTCAATCTCCTTCCTCACCGCCATTGCGGTGGAGAAAACCTACACCTTACTTCGACCTCTTCGCCATGTCACCACGGCAACACGTAATTACGTCATTTTCATCTCCTGCTTGTAGGTCTTTCCAGGCTTTCTATCTTTTTTAGTGCTCTTTTCGTGGTGTGAATACCTGAACTTTATTTTATGTACCACTGTGGTACCTGCATTGGACTGGCCGTTCTTGCGTCTCTTACACTACAATATGGGTCAAACTTAATCAAAGAGACTTTGTCCTTCAAAGCCCAGAGACAGCCCGAAACAAAAAACTGGTTAAAACACTTTTTCTCTTTGGCTTAAACACGACAATTCCAACGATAGAATATCCCTAAAAAGGTGCTAACCATGGGACGAAAGGTAAGGAACACAGAGGTATTACAGAGGTAATACACACACCGTATTTCATGATAATTTATTTACAAGTACATAAACTTGATAAGCATTGCTCCATCTATAGTAAATCAGCAAGTTATGTCATAAATGTACATTCGCTTAACAGAAACAGGATTGAGGAGGTTCACAAGAATTTTACGTGTCATTGAAACAAATCTTATAATTATACTTTACTAGAAATTAAAACTACGCTTCGTAAAATATAATCTAATTTAGCTGATAGTAATCGTGTAATTGTAAACTTCTAATTAAAATTCTAAAATACAATATTCTTAGAGTCATCATTGCGGGTTCATTTTTTAACTGATTGCCCCACTAGAGAACTTAGCGTTCAATCGAAAGAATAAAAAAGCAAATTTAGGAACTTCATAACACCACGAACTCTACAATGGTTGGTAGACAACCGTAAAGGAACGAACGGTGGATTAATTTGGATGAATCTCTGTTTTCAAAGACTTTGAACGCGTGCAAAAACGTAGACGGTTAGGTGTGACCGGCAGTGCCTCAAAACATCGATCCATCAACATGCTTTAAGCTCCAATAAACCCATCCTCTAACTGAGAACTAAACATTAAAACCACTGACTAAAAAACAACTCGTGAAATTTATACCAGTTCCCACATAATCCTCTAAGTTTCAATAAGATACATGTCGTTTAAGCCCAGTAAACGTGATTTTAATTCTTAATAGACTAAAACTGATATATTTCCATTATTGCTATTTACAAGAACATAGAGGGAACATTGGTATCAATGGAATGCATTGAAACCATGTTGTCGATTCCTCTTTCTCTATACCCCAGGGGAGGGTTACTCGGTGCACTTTCCTCACAGCAACAACAAAAAATGCGCCTGACTCCTTTCCTAAAATCTTTCACGCGCAGAGCATAAATAATGGGGTTTACAACTGAGTTAAAATAATGGAGGAATTTCGTAGCGTATATTGCGTGATAGAGACAGGCAAAGTCACCTTGGCTACATGAAAGGGTTGCACCCCGCTGAAAGTGAAAAATGTAATTAATCACTTTAAATGGCAACCAAGTGACTATAAAAATCAAGCTTAAGATCAGGAGAGTAACCGCCATCCTCTTCTGAAAGTCATCGCTTTTGTTGCGCGCACCCAGTAAAATGCAGGCGATCACTGAATAAGCGACCACAATAGTTATCATTGATAAGGCAAGTAAAATCATGATAAACAGGAATACCCCCTCATTATCTGCTGCACCGACATGCTTCTCTCGGAGAAACGACAAAACGCCGAGTAGCACCGATAAAAGCCAGATGGAGGTGATTACGATGTAGTAAACGATAGGTTTCAAGTTATCATGCCCGACGGGAGACAAAGCTGCGTAAAGTCTCTCCAAAGCGATAGCGACCAGGAAGAAAATCGAGGCATACGAGGCAAATATCTCGATGGCGGTCTGGGCAGGTTGTACGTGATCGTCCACATCCCACCAATTGGTAACTGATCCACCAATGTAATGAATGAACATCGGTATCGCTACCGCACCCACCAGGAGATCAGCCACTGCCAAGCTGATTAGCAACAGATAGGTTTTCCTGTGTAAGGACTTAGTGATGGCGAAGGCAGCTATAATAAGGATATTCCCAATAATAATTGCCGCCGACTCTAGGCCGTAGACGACGCACCAGGCTCGGTTTTCTTTTTCTGAAATTAGCGTGGTCATCTTGATTTCCTCGTCAGTGAAGAGGATGTGACCTAAAATCGTATATGGTGGAAAAAGTAATGCAGCAATATTTAATTGAGTATCGGAAGTAAGCCGAGAATGTGTTGAGTTTGCTCCACTTCGCTTTGTTCCAGAACTTTATAAAGTATTGAGCAACTCCCCTCAACTGTGTCATCGTCTCAACCAATCAGATGCAAACAGAGATCAATAGCATTTTCCTGCACTTCGAAGGATTTGTTTGTCTTTTTTGTTTTGTTTTGTTTTGTTTTGTTTTTTTTGTTTGTTTTCGAGCCTTTTTTTGGCTCTTTGAAATATTTTTCTTTCCTAACCCTAAAATCGCAATTATTTGGGCTTTATTTTTCAAAAATGTGCTTTAAGTTCACTTGAATTCACCCATCTACCAATTGAATCGGCTGAAAGAGTTTTTAGTTGGCTGAAATCCTTCAAATAAAAAAGCTCGAAAGTTAAGAAATTATAAAAATTCAAAACTCCCTTACACTTTTTTATTCTATTTACATAACACGACGCTAACGACATTGCTTATCCAAGCAGTATATGCAGACGTATATCATATATGAATGAAGGAGGTGAGTTTCTAAAGAAACTGTGGTGCTGCGTCGGTGGGAGAGCATAACAGGATAATTTAGTACTATCAAGTGAGTTGATAGCGTTAATTGGCCACCGTGAAGAGTTTCAAAGCAGACGTTTCGAGCGTTAGCCAACTCAGTTATCAATATGTATTATGAACTCAATTGATAATACTGAATTCCCCTGTCATACGTGAAATTCGTAATGGGCCTTGCTCATCATAGTTGGTAGAGCATCGGAGCGCAGATTCCGAAGGTCTGAGGTTCGTTTCCACAAAAGTGGTCATTAGCCGTGTATTTTTGTTCGCGAAGGCCGAAAAATTTGAAAAAAATAAGTTTGGTAAGAGTGCCATCTAACAATCTACTTAGTAACCCCGCTTACTCATTCCCTTTGCTCGAGCCCTATTGGAGAATATTGGCTCCCGGTCGTTTTGTACGGACTTCGCTGCGCTCGGTCCGCACTGCTACTACTATAGGCCAATATTCCCCATTACGGCCCTTGCGCTCAGTTAATAAGAAGTTATGAATTGTTTCTATAGTAGCTGATCTGTACTTATTTATTCATTTTCTTTTTGTAGATAAAAAATTTTTTGATGAACTATGGGAATTATGTAATATTAGAACTGAACCAAAAGATTTGTTCACAGATATTCCATACCAAACAAAGCGTAGATAAACTATTCGCTTCATGTTAAAGAATTTTTAAACAGAGGTGGCCATAGAGCAAAGCTTTGATCAAAAGCAATAGACACTAACTCGTGGGCGGAGCTTAGATAATCTATGCTGGTTCATGACAGAAAATTCATTAAGACCAGAAAAATATGTATGAAGTTTAAGGTAAGAAGTAAATAACCGATTTTGAATACACTTCGGAACAGTTCGATCGCCTCTAAAAATTGACTGTGATAGCAAGATTTGACAGTTTCTAACTGATTGCAGTTTGCTATAAAGCTGATAATTAAGTAAGAGTTTACGCATCAGTTGTCTTTAGAAGACACTCTGTCGCAGTCTAAATACTAAGAAAGCTATTTACATTCCAGACTATGATAATCTGTTTAGAAGTCGTGTCAAGATCATTTTGTAATCTGCCTAGGAAAGTGGTAATTTTTGTCAAGTAAGCCACAAATGATATCATGACAGTTATTGTACGTATTCAGCAGTTTGCGACAGTACCCGATATAAGTGCTATTGAAGTGAAAAGATCTCATGACGCCGACCTTGGGTTCATTTTGCAGTGTTAAATCAAGTGGACCCTTTCTTTTGTCTATTTGCTTACTTGTTTCAAATCTAATCGTTGCCATCATACGTCAGGAGAGTTTTTTTATCAGAAATATACTTTAGATCTTTGCAAAACTCTTGACAACTCTTAGCGGTCTACCAACGTAAATTCTAACTGCTAATCGAAGAACTCATTCATATATCCGCATATCCTGATCTTTCAAATTTTAAGCTCGAATAAAATTTACACAAACATGGCTTTGTTTTGGATCGTGGGAAAAATTAAGACTTACTTTCGAACACGAGTGCAGAGCTTCATATAGAGTTCAATCACAGCGCTCAGAAAGTTGACTTCATGTCATGATTGCCGCGATGATGACTAGTTTGATATCGCGTTTAAAACGTAAGTAAAAAAACTGCGTGGAATTTGAAAAGTTCCGAAACATTTTTCAAAGCCTCACTTGAGTTAAAGGGTTTAGGTATAAAGCTTCTGTGTTAATCCTTGAAGTAATTTGGCGGCTGTGACTCTCTGTTGCTCGCCTGCCATAGTTTATGTGCCATTTAACGATGTTCATTATCACGTTTGATTACAAATTACTCCAAAGTTAACTCTGCAAAAAATCTGTACTCCTAGCTATCGGCAAAAGTATTCGACGGCAGAAAAGAAGTTTTCGTCTTCAAATCACTTTTTGAAAGGAACACTGAGATAAACATTTTTACCATATTTCAACATATTTTCAATACTATACATTGTTCTAAATAAGAGCGTAAACTTACTGGCTCTGGCTAGTGTTCACTCTTTGGAAGGAATGCGCTTAGTTTGCAGCTTTTGTTAAACTTCTGTGGGCTGAAATTAAAGACAGGAAGGTTTTACATGATAATAAACTTTTCAGAAGTAAGTTGCACAAAAAAAGCAACGCCGAAAGTCAACTGTTGACGCAGTTAATTATACCAACGGACAGAGCCTGTTAATATCGAGATACTTTACCTTGGCCTCACTTTAACTACTCTGTCCCTTGTCAAACGTTCTGGAATCCAGGAAGAACCAGATTCAACAAAAAGCTTGTTTCCTTATGAAATGAACTAAGAATACAAGTATCTTTTGCTCACTTGATAATTTAACTTGCAGATTTTCACACCGATACTGATGCACTTTTCACGTCTCACTGAGCAAGCGACAAAGTGTGACAATGCCGTATACTGAACTTGTATTAAAATTATGCATATTTTAATCTTTCTCGTATTTGGTCCAATAATGACCAATTTGTGTCGCAGAAACTCATCTTTGGATTATTTGCTTGACAGCATAGACCTAGAACACGATTGAACTCGTAAATTTAACCTTCCGTCGAATTTCAAATACATTTTCCAATAGCAGGTGGTAAATAATCGGCAATTTCTCCCGACTACTTTGCAACAAAACGTATGGCGAAAGGAATGGAGAATAAGTAATCAGATCTTGAGGGTTGATAGGTGAAGATGGAATAAATATGGAAAGTGTTTTTTGTCAATGAAAAGGTCACGAACGAGAATTTTTTTTTTGTTTTGCTTCATGAGATTGGATTATGTAACAAATCGTTTCGAGCACTTTGTGATTTACAAGACAAGTTGACAAGTTTTATGTAACTACTAACTACATCAGAATTAAACTTAATCATAAACTTTCTGATCACTCCGTCGATCATTTTTCACTGATGTCCAATGATATGCCATGGTCGAAATAAAAATGCTCTTGGAATCAGAATTTAATAAATCTCTAATTCGTGTGCTTTCGCGCACGGGCGAGCTAGGAACGACTGATTGCCACAATGTCCACATCTCAATGAGTTGGTGAGTGACTCATTTGCATATCGGAGTCCGCATTAAAATCCGTTTGTACGAGTTAAAAGTTACTACCACAAAGCGCGATCAGATTTCAGCTCCAGGGATAACCATGGCTTGATGGATACTCCACTTAATCCTATCAGTGTCCTTTTGTTTTCATTTTTAAAATACTCATACTTTTGTTGGTCATATGACACCCTTATTCACAAGGCTCGGTATGTTCCAAATCAGCAAAAATGTGAATGTTTACGCAGTGCAGTTGTATCAATAAAGTTTGTTTGCAATTTGTTACCAAACGAACAACGCTTCATTTTTTTTTGTCAGAAACGGAGAACGCTTCCCTTTGTTGTTAGAAATGAACAACGCTTTAAAAATCGTTACTTAAAAGTATCTCAATTTCGAGCATACGATCGATTTCTGTGTAGTGAAAGTCTTCATGGTATTGTTAGAAACCAAGAGAGAGTTTCTCAAGGTTACGAAACGTCCGTGAGTAAGAAACGATTACATACCAAACGAACTACGCTGCATTTTGTTGTTAAACGCAGCGTTATTTGGAAAGACATGAAGTGTGATGTTTGCAAAAAACAAACGCCTACTCTGGCAATTTGACGAGTTTAAGAAGATGGATGGACCGAGTCGTTGGGGTGTTGCAAAACGACTGAAATTCTGCTATCGATGCCTCAAAGGGACCACAGAGGTGACCGTTGTACTCGAAGCAGGATGTGTGGTACTGATGGCTGTCAGAACACACACAATGAACTACTGCATGGACAACTGCTAACAAGGAACGAGGCAACTTTATACAGACAACACCAAGAGCCAGAGAGAGGACCAGTTGCCGATATTAGTCAGAGTCAGACTATGGGGCCAATCCAAGCACGGAGGGGAGCAACAGTTCCTGGCTGAACGATTGTTAACGACAACCATTGCGGCTCCAATCTCACCAGAGCGGCCACACTATGTGGCTTTGCGAACTGTGTCAGTGGTATTGAAGAATGGGGGTCGAAGGTATCGAAGAATGGTGGTGAATGCTTTGTTGGATGATGCTAACAGAAAGACGTACATCAATGGTAATGTGGCTGCCGTGTTAGGATTCGAAGAAACTGTCCAGCAGATCACTGCTAATGTTCTAAATGGTGGGGAGGATTCTTTTCAAACCACGCCTGTTGAGTTTGACCCTGAAAGCGTGAATGGCAAGACTAATGCAAGAATCTGAGCTTTTACAGCAATCGGAGTAACGGAGATATGCAATCAGTCGACTGAAAAAGGCAAGCAATGAGGTGGAGACTTCCGTAAGGCATCAATTTCCCACCGGTCATTGGTATGCTGATTGGGATAGACCCTGTAAAGTTGCATTATTCAGTCAAAGATATTCGTGGTAAACCTAGTGAACCTGAGGCTCGACTAACTCCCTTGGGCTAAACATGCATTGGTGCAACTGAAGTGATGGCTGGCAGGCTGCCACAAACTTATTTTAACGCGGCCTATTTTGTGCTAGAGAAGGACTTAAGCTCGGTGCTTCGAAGTTCTAGGAGTTGATACTTCAGGTTCAGGAACTAAAGGAGAGAAACTTGCACAGGTCGAGGAAATAGCCATCCAAAGATTCAACAGCTCAGTGCGGTTTAAAGACGGAAAATATGAGGTATCCATGCCATGGAAATCAGACGTCACAGCATTGCCAAATAACTATGACATGGCGTTGAACCGATCGTTGAGTACAGAGAAGAGACTTCTGAAGGATTCGTTGCTGAGTGGGGTATATTCAAACATTATCGCTGATTACTTGAGAGAGGGATACATTTCCAAGGAATTGCCTCCTGAGACGAGAAGTCCTGGTACCTCAAGCATTTCGCACTCGTGAGACCTGACAAGACGACTACGAAGACGACTACATGGTGTTCGATGAATCCGCGAAATTCAAAAGGGTATCGCTGAATGATGTTAATTACCGAGGGCCCAAGCTTAAATGTGATATCTTTGATGTGCTACTGCGGTTTCGAAAATTTGGAGTTCACCTATATGAATCACGGACAGTATGGACTCGGCACCTGGTGAAGATGAGTGCATAGAGCTTTATGAGCCATGTGGGAGTCTGCTGCTATGCATACAAGAAAGTGGCTTTCAAACCTCCAAAAAGTACTCCAGAAGATACTTGAAGTGGATAGAGCTGTAAAAGTAGATTTCTACATGAGAAATTTGCCGTCAGAGAAGACTCTTGACATTTTGTGGCTGGCCAGAGAAGATTTGAGAGTGAAGAGTGAGAGGGAACCGTTCGGAGGAGGAGTACCCCTTAACCAAGCGAAACTTCTTGCGGAAGATAGCCACGCTGTTTGATCCCATGGGGTCTATAGCCCCGTATGTGATTAGAGCAATGATTCCTCTGCAAGACATGTGTACCACTGGATTGGATTAGGATGACCTGCTTGACCAGCGTATAAATCAGTGAGCCCCTTGGAAGACTTACCACTTACTCCGAATCATTTTTTGTTTGGTCAAGTTTGGACAGTAAGCCAATTTAGTCCAAGAAAACGGTGGAGGCGTGTTCTGAAACTTGTATGACATTTTTGGAACTAATGGCTTTGATAGCGGCTACCAACCCTCAACCGACGATCAGAATGGCAGAACGAGCAGAAAGACATTCAGGTGAATTAAGTCGTGTTAATGTTGGCACCCGACACATCTTATGAGCAGTGGCCTCTTGGCAGAGTTTTGGAGGTTTACCCAGAAGCAGAGGGGCATGTGGGTGCAGTGAAACTGCAGACCGGTCGTAATGTCTTGGTGAGATCAGTCACAAGGATATGCCCATATTCAAATCATTAGAAACGATTTTTGCTGTTTACTTGTTTTTTAGTTCGATGAATCACCGACCCATCGAGGAGTCGGAGGATGGTCTAAAGGACAGTGAATTCCTAAGACGTTTGAGTGTATGATACATAAGGTATAATTCGGGGGTGGGAAGAGGGGCACGTGATCTAGTTTTGGGATAGTAAAAGCACTTCGAAAGATTTGGATTTTGGAGTTTAGTTTTCGGCTCTGTCGATTTTTTTTGTTGTTTTTGCCTCGAAATTACACGTGACATTCAATAAATGGTTTGAAAACCAAACGAAACCATCCACTTTTAGCAAATTTTGAACGTCACGGTCTGCAAGCGATACGAATTTTCCAGTTTTTTTAGCAGCCATAGCCCGAGAAAATTTCGACAAACGACCTTGGATTGAGAATGGTTAAGGTTGCCATATATTTATCAACGTAACAGAGTGGCGCGAAAGGCGCGTGACAGTAGCTGATTGGCGATATCAAACACACGTGCAAAATTATCGTATTTTTTCAAGTGTATTGTTATGGCTTTTCACAGGGCTGGAGATCCTTTTACAACACCGCAGTTTGTCTATTAAAAGAGTTTATAAAGCTGACGTTTTGATTTTGAGCCCCTCGTTGGAGCAAAGGGTTAATCTATAAGAGGCTGAAATATATTTTCGGCGCTTTCCACTTCGTCGCCATAAGCTTAGAATACATACGTGTTTTCATGTATTTGTACAAACGTTCAAACCCACAGAGGAGACGAAGCAAGATTTAAAAAAGATGCAAAGGAGAACTGCTAGCATCAAAAAATTATGCAAAGTGAAAAAAAGGGGAATTGAAATGTGCATTCAGTCCCCGCCTCTTATACGCAAAATCCTGACAAAACAAGTCTAAAGCAACTTGAGATATTCTTTTCTAATGGTAAAGCCATTGAACTGTTGTGTGTAAAGAGAGCGGATAAGCAGCAGTCGTAGACAACTTGTGTTTTTGTCACACCGCCAAAATTTTCATCACAATATGCTGAATGTCAAATACATCAGTAATACCATTTTGGGTGGCAGCTTAATTAAATTTGCATTTCTGACAGAGCCAGCTAGCGAGTTATAGCACATCATATGCTAATATTAATGTTTCACTCGGAATGTTAGCGTCTCATGAATCAAATTCTGTATAATTAGAAGATTAAAGAGAATTTCAGGTGAGTTAAAGAAAAGTTAATCAAGTGCTGGCCATGATCAACGTATTATTTTACCTACCGCAGTGGAAAATTTTATCACCTTGAATGAGAAAGGACGTGCGGATGGATTTGTTGTACAAGTTCTTCGCAGAACGAACGAATAAGGCTTTGAGGAGGCAATTAAGTGTTCAGCGCTGCATGAACAGTTAATGAATATTGTGATACGGTTTCGCGGGTTTTATTTTTTCAATAGCATGGATATCTCAAGCTGATTTTTTTTCCAAAGCGGTTCATTCAAAGGAACTGAACTTTTTCCTTCGATAGTACAATGGTACAATTTTCATCACCCGTTTGAAATATCGTGTATACAATCCAATTTTTATTTACAAGTTTTATTTACATAATTTTTCGTTCGATTTGTCAGTTTCACTAACTTCTTGCGTTAATAGTACTTATGATATCACCTTTGTATAAAGCGAAGCTCGCTATTTTTTCCAATCGATGTGGGTTTAATTTCACTTATTGCTTTGCGAAAGTGACAGGTACTCCGTCAGATGCAATATGCAAAATTTCGAGCCAATTCACCTTGCCCACGTTTTTAATTCTGCCTACAGGGGAAGTTACAGGAACACGTCTGCATGTTTCTTCTTTTCGATAATACTTGTTTTTAATCTCTAATTTTTTCGAAAATAGTTCTGATGAAACCTGTAAATTGTCGCACCTGAAAAGTTTAGTCTTTTACACTCGACTCGAACTGAATAAAACTCACGACAAAATCGATTTTTACCAATAATGCTTTGAAATTGCATAAATAATGACCCAGTGAACAAGTTAGGTGAATATTGCGAAATTATGGAAATATAGGAAATTAGTTTTTATGTTGTCTCTTGTATCGGAGATATTTAACATTTTCACATTTTACTTTGAAATGTTTCTATTCCCAATAAAAACTCCTCTTTACGCTGGTAGGAGTTTCAAACAGCGGCAAGACACAAAAGACTGTGATGCGTAATCTTTCTCTGTGAAGCATTTTAAAAAATATTTTTTGGGCGGAAAAAAGGACAAATGCTTTGATTTAGATGAATTTAACTAACTTAAATTGATAAGAAAATAGCATTTCCCGGCGCATTTTGAGTCTTGATTTTGTTTCGTGACTGTATGGTTGACTTCCCGAAATTGTTGAATTTCTAATGCACATGATTTTAGCAAAGCAAGTCTCCCTTGCCATGCCAATCTATTTTCTCCCGTTTTCATCAACAAAGAATCGTTCGATAGCTATGGCGCTATTGGTTTTCAGAGATCTCAAGTTGACGTGATGCTTATAACATCTACAAATCAATTTTCAATTGTTATTACCTTTGTATGCCTTCGACCTTGTTAAATTACACTGGACCCCGAGTGGTTATCCTTTTTTGTTTCAGCTATAATTTGCATATTTGAAAATACCACGCGCATATGTTTGCACGTCACGGTGTGCGATGAAACTTGCATTTGGCTTGTACCATCCGCCGAAAAGAGAAAGAAAACTTTTGGTAAGCAAGAGGCAATACAATGAATTACTTCGAGTGTCAAAAAATTTCTAAACTGAAAATGGAAATACGTTGCTCATCATAATCCGAATTGTTCAGATGAACGAAGCTTTTACTACTTTTTATTAACATCTGTGACTAAGGTTTTTTTTCTCTCTTAAATGATTTTAAACCTTATAGTGAAACCGTATCAAAAATGTACTTTGTGAAAGCACATAATTAATTTCCCTTTGAAAGCTGATTCCCTTAAAATTTCGGGTAAGTTTTGTCCCAAAAGTTATCGTTGATAAGATATTAAACTAGGCACTCATAGTGATATATATTAAACTACTAAGAGAACTATGAAGCCATGTAGTAAATGATTTTGAATTGAAGTAAATCTGTATATTTCGTTGTCTACGTGGAATACATTCTAGTTCCGGGCACACGAGCTATCCTTCCCATCAGCTTGGTGTTTTTTAAAGTTTAAGTGGTTATGCATATAAGTTGACTTACGCTGCCGGGAAAGGAACATTTATTTCTGTCATGAAAATATCCCGGAGTTTTTAAATTAAAATATCTTTCACTTTGCCTTTTACATTTTTTTATCTATTGTCAATAAAAAGCAAACACCCTCCAGCGGTTCGACTTCAAATAAGTCTGTTTTGATGACATCATAGGTGAAACTCCAAGCTGTTGGATATAACAATCAATCGGGAGCCGTGTGCAGTAGCCTAAGAAACCTTGCCTTGAATGTCAAGTTGAAAATACTGACTTTCGTTGACTACACGGCTATCCCAGCTTGTTTTGTAGAATTCCTGACAATAATACCATTTTATTTCAAACACTGATTTAAAAAGATGGATTTGGTCAGAGGCAAACTACTACATAGTTTATGTGGGTAAAATATTCATGTACACTCTTGTTGGGAATAAAGCTGGTAAGGAGGGGAAGAAACACGAACCTCTATATCAGTTTTCTGGATATACTAATGTCTCTTCAACACAGCAACAGAGTATCTTACAAAAAAAATTGGCGTGAAAGACTACTAAAACTCTAAGCGAGACAACTTTACACTTAGTATACCAAATGAAGACTAGAAGGGGACCAACGTACTCATGGCAACGAAAATGTTTTTCAAATCCCCGAAGGATCTGAAATATTAACAGAAAGTAAGAGGATATAAATTTCCATTAATTTTTTTTTCTGATATATAGTATATTCACTAAATTTGATTACGTTTTCATGATGACTTATGTGTTCAGTTTAGGTTTCGATTGATTAATTTTTGTAGTTATATTGTAGTGATAACTTTTCGGTAGCCTGAATGAAACGGATCTATTAATGTTTCCTTTGTTTTATTTTAATTGTTTTTCTTTCGACAGGAGAGAAGCCATCATAGCCCTATTGCTAATTAAAGACAATGGTGTCGAGAAGTGAGGCAATTGTTTGGTCGGCTGTCTTCATGACAGAGGCTCTGACGATCGTCGCTGGTAACGTGTTCTCGATAGTCAAATTTACTGGAACTGGTAAACTGCACAGGCGCAGTTCATATTTGTTGATAAATCTGGCAGCAGCGGACACCCTTGTCGGAGCATGCGCTGTTCCGATGTTCGTTTACTTCATTGGGGGACAGGCGCAATTGTGGCCAGTAAGCTTAGAAACTCCTTTGACCGCCTACAAAGCGGTGGATGTCATTTCAGGCCTTGCTTCGATTTTGTCTCTTACGCTGATATCTTTGGAAAGGCTTTGGGCAACGTGGTGGCCGTTACGTCACAGATTGATACGAACACGAGAATACGTGGTGGGAATTATGTTCGTGTGGTTTCTTGCTTTTGCCATCATAGCCATTGAATTACTCACTCGCCACATCCCTTTAAGATTTATCTTTTATAGTTCTGTTGTTATCCTCTCTATTTGTTGTGTGATAGTTTTCGTTACAAACTTAGTGATCTGGATTCAGGTTGGAAATCGGAAGATATCATCTCACTTTCGTAACGCAACTTTACAAGAGCGAAGACTGACTATTACTTTACTTATCGTCACGCTTATATCTCTGTGTGCTTGGCTCCCATTTACGATTTTAAATATTGTAAATCAGCTTCAACCTGTTTCGGTGAGCTTGTCGCTAATTTATCTCACAAAGCTTTTGCATTATGGGAACTCGTGCGCCAATGTTTTCGTGTATTCGCTGAGGATCGCCGAGTTTAAGAGGGCTTTTACGAAGATGTTGTGTCGCGATCAGTCTTTTATCAGCGAGAAAGCTGTACTGCTTCGTGCTCAGGTGGCACGTTTGTCAAAAGATACCACAGCTCTTGAGATGGGAATTTTGAAATCCAATCGTTTGAAATCCAAGGTAAAGAATTTAAAGGGCAGTCTCATTGCGTCATGATCTGCAGTTGATAATAGGACATGTTTATTGAAGGCAGGTATGGGATCAGCCAACCCTATTTTTAATTCAGAAAAAGCTCTCCCTATCCACATCCAACCTTCGAAATAAATAAGATAGGGTTACAGAGCCCCCTTGAATTTTCGTTGTAGGTAAAAGTGTTTGAAAAATGGGAAAAACTTAAGTATTGAGTGTATTTGGTCATTAGTGGATCAATGATAGCACATGATGTAGATTTAATTTATTTTCACGCCAAATGGCTTTTCAATTTCTAATTAAGGTTGGGAAATTGATGAAGTAAATAGTATCTAAAGCATAATTCTTACAGAAGACCATCATCACCATAGCTATTGGCACATAATTTGTGTCCTTCGACTTACCTTGAGGAATTGAGGAATTTCTTCCCTGTCTGTCCCATACTCTCTCCGCCCCCTAAAATGTTTTGAAAATTAAAAAATTAAACTCCCTAATGCTAAAATGCTTTCAAAACATTTTTCTGTAGTGTCTGGCCCTGGTTTTATATAGTTACTTGCAGTGTCATGGTGGATTTTTTTGACTCGGGCGATTAACTTTTCACTTTAATTGTAGAAAAAATTATCATAATAATAATAATAAGATTAATAATAAAAAGAAGAAATAGTCAAACGACCTTATCTTTCTCCAAGTTTATTCACCTTTCTGTCGTTTTTCGGGCCTTGTTACAAATCATTCTTCTTCGATAGCATATTCTGATAACACGACATGAAGCCCCTTTTCAATTTTAATTTGCACTCATTAATTACTTTTTGGCAGTGGGGTGTTTGATCTCTTCATTAGAGTAAAACCATTTTATTTGCTGTTTTGTCCATGTCAACTGTGAGTGCACTGTGTTATATAAATAAGGTAATGGGGAAATCTCAATCCTTCCACTACTGATTGGAAAGCTGCTACAATTAGAAAGCTTTTTTAAACTACTGGCAGCTTGGTTTGGAAGGAATAGAAAGGTCAGTGTAAAGTTGCCTTGAGTTTAATCCCTTTAATTTATTTGATACCAAATAATGCTCACTTAATCTGAGATGCAGCGAAACTGCTCCTACATGACAGCTAATTCTCTAAAACTGTTCAAAAAATGCAAATCATGAAAGATGTAAGTTGATCAAATGTTCAGCAAAAAATTTCAAAGCTGTTAAGAATTTAGGATTGTGATGTTATTAAGGTAACTTCGAGTTTTCCATCGGTACTCTTTTTCCGTATCATCTAACATATTACTATTCACACCTGCCCCTTGGACGCGAAAAAAATTCCATTTATTGACGCCTCGGTTTCCATGTTCAAAACTGTGGATCACTTTTAGGTACCTTGAACTGAAAACGGCCAAAGTTTCTCAGCTTGTTTAAGTAAAATCGGTATTAATCTTTTCATTGAAAATTGTGGACGCTTTTGCCTTTTTACGTGTATTAAATTGTGAAAAAATGTTTTAACTTAAAAAATTTCCTTCATTCTGGGGTAATTTCATTCGTTGCTTACCTATCACAAATAATGCGATGGATCAGTTTTTTTTTTTTTAACAAGGTTTAAATACGATTTTGAAATTTTTCCTGTGACTTGAGTTCTCAGTCAATTTAGGTTTTGGCTTTGCGCTCATCAGGGGTTCTGAGCAGTAATAGATATACACATGACACCATACAATTGTCAAACCGACTTCCGCTGTCATTACCGATATATCATTTTTCGCTATAGAGCAAATCTTCTGATTGCACGTTATAATTGAAAAGATTTGGCTGACAAGCCGAACTTAAGTATAAGTCACTTTTTTTTCGTGCGTTAATGGAGTTTGTATGGTTCATCCGACAGCAGACATTTTCCTATCAGAATTCGAGTATAGAACTCAGGCTGTTTTTGTTAATTCTTACCTGTGTCAATAATAAGTGAAAAAAGCACTTTGTGCCAAAATCATGGACGAGTCCAATGGAGCGAATAATTTCAGGCAAATCAGTTCGTTGTCATCATTCAATCACTCTTACCTGATCGTGCCATTTATCTGAACAGGCAAAGTAATTGTCGGTTGGTTAACAATATCCTGACTCTCTCTTACCGCAAATAGTTCCCCTTCACAGGCAAATGCATGCGAACTTACTACAGGATCGGGTTTATGGCAGAATAATTAATAGTTGTCCAACATGTACGGCGGATATATTTCATATTGTTGAAACTGATCGATTTTGACGTTTGAACCGAGAAAAGAAGAACAACAACGAACTTTCAGTGATCGTTAAAATTGACAACAAGAGCAAAACATAAAGGTAAGGAAAATGAAGCTGCACTTTTCTTCTCAATTGCGTAGTGAAAAATAATTTGGCTGATTTTGCAAGCCTTGCAAGGCTTATTGAGCCACGCAGGCTAATAATCCTTCAATATGGTTACTATGTAAAGCGAAACTAGCTCTACGCTCCAACAGGACGGGGTGGCGGAGCGTAAGGGGCGGGGAGTGGGCTCAACCTTCACCAAGCCAAGTGCATGCCTTATTGAAATCCCAAAATGTTCTTTGTCCAGTGCATCTATGATTGATTTTTAACATTGTATTAGTGGACATTTATTCAAAACAAAAAGTGTCTTGCAGAGTAGCAGTTTAGTGTGCCATTCTGATAAAACGATTTGTGATAAGATCACATCACGGAATAGGTAAGGAAGCTGGTGGTATACTTCGATAACGATGACTGAGCCTCCTCCCCCACTGCCCGCCCAAAATATTTTCTTTTGGGCTGTGCTTGACTGCTGTTCCGCGACCTCTGCAACTAGCAAACCCTTATTAACATGTTAATGAATACTTCATACCTAGCATCAGAAAATAATCTAGAAAACACAGCACATTGGAATCAAGCGACAGTTTATGTACTTTTGTGGAAACGTTTGGTATTCTTCGTGTTTATTTGCTGGGCGAACACCGACTCCAATTTATTTTCAAAAACAAATACAGTGCCGAATAATTTGTCTGTGTTAAAGAGCAGGATAGAATATCTATATTGTCCATTAAATGCAGAGCTATGTCAAATACTTAAAAACTGGAATTATTCCCAGATTTTGGAGTTTTTTCTCTGTCAAAATTTTTCTTTTGCTCGAAACAGCCCACGTCTATTAACAAAACTTAGCTTGAAATTGGTAGAATGAAGTTGATGTCAACTAATGTAATTGCTTCTGTCGCTTTTCTTAATTTGTTCAAATCTCATTTTTTCACAGTCGGCGGTCTTAAATTAAAGACCTCCACTAGAATTCTCAACAACCATTCTCAGTTCAGGAAATCAATTTTAAATCCTTAAAATTTCCATCTCAATAGTCAAGGGTCTCAGATAAATCTGTTGAATATTTTAAACGACTGTTAACTTGAAAGCAACCGGCGGAGTTAGGTATTTACAAGCAATATAACGATTCATATCGTAAAGACAAAAAAGAAAAAGGATGTGGAAAATATTAAAACATCTGGATCTTATCGCAAGAAGAGGACGAGTTTACGATATGAGCCAGTTGGAGCTTGATTCCGTCAATTTTTTGCACCACTACTCCAAAGAGCTGCTGGAAAAATTCAAAATTTGATCACGTCTTTAATAAGGTATGAATAACAGAGTAGGTCATTATAAAGTAGGTCATTTAGTTGAACAAATGGAACGATATTACCAATTCAGAAGACAAAAAAAAAAGAGTGAACTTCGCTTCAGTGGAGTGTGCGGCATGTTTGAGTTCTCTGGCTTATTCCAGCCGAAACATTCTACACTAATGTATGAATCAAAATACAATTATTCCGGCGTCTTTGATAGGATCAGCTTAAGGCAATGATAAGACCTGTTAAATAACAAAATTCACCGCGCAGTTAATGATAGTTGCTTTTAGACAACATTGGCCTTCTTGGTGCTTCAATTTTAGTGCTGAAGTGACTTTGCAGTAATTAACGATTATGAAATAAATTCGTTCAACGCACAAATGCATCCGCAGAATTCGATGGGATAAATTCAAGAAGCTTATAAATCTTCGCTTATTGCAATTCAGCTCACTTTGAGTGGAAAAAAGTTTACCCGTGAAAGGTGCCTTATGAGGTTCAGCAGGGATGTCGTTTTCCTTTTGAAATAAGTGCAAAATCGAGGTCGCATGGGAAATTATTCACAATTACCTCTTGCTTATGTTCTCTAAATATTGAAAGGTTTATTTTCTTGGGCTCATTTATGTCATCTCAATTCTGTCATTTCAAGTCCTTTTTATCACACTCCATTTCGAAATTCTAAGTTTGATTTCTGGAAATTCTTCAAACACAAGTTAAAGTGATTCACATTAAAAAATGTCTGTACTGTTATCGACTACAATTTCAAAGGTAGATGAATTCGCTTCACCCGAGTCTAAGAACATTACGCTTGAAGTTTCTTCGTCAACCATAGAAAGTTCACAGCGCGTGACTTTTACAGCCTGAAACCAATTGGATGATCTTTAAATTTAAGAAACATTGAAGGAGAATGAGATTTAAATCGCTTTCAGCAATCTTTTCACGCGATTTCTGAGGAGGGCTCCTCAGTAATCACTTTTGAATATCGGGGGTAATTAAGTGTTTTGGGTAAAGACTCGTCTCCAGGTCATTTAGTAATTATCATTTGTCCGGAGGACTTTAAGCGGCGTCAAAATAACGCAAGATACGTTAATTAATATATATATAAGTAGACGTATTTAAGCTAAGAAGGAGATCTTGGATTTTGAAGAAGGAGCTGACAATGGCTTAAATGATCATAGTCGGTTTGACTCGATAAACAGTCAACCTTCTTCTTGATCCGCCTTCATGGAGGGGGGAAATATCAAAAATCTTTCTCTTTGTTCAGATTCCATGACCAGCGCAGTCAATTTTGCTTTAGTACAGTCTCTAAGTTATGTCCCACAGGTTAGTGAGATTAGCAACAGGCCAGGCTGAAACGAAATACACAAGTTCAATTTACACGTTCTTTAAGTCGTAGTTACAAAAAAGTTTAAAACATATAAACTAGAGGTTCTGCCCATTACTAAGGGCTTCCAAGCAACAGAGATGTTTCGTTTCCGACGTTAACCCTAGGCTCCTGCACCTTATATGGTCCACATTTCTTTCAAGAATTGTCAGGAAAAACGATTTTTCACCAGTGTCATTTTCTTCATAGCTCAGTTATTTTTGGAGAATTGCACTGGTATTGTGAGATACTGTTTCAAAATCTGATTGGGTCTGGAGTTCATTTCAGGCCCTCTTTTGTGATTTTTTTAGGTTGGGAGACATGGTCAAATCCTTGTTTTGTCGGGCCTGATCCATCGTTATTTAGTCAGAAAATAAGCAAATCAATAGAAAGTACTACTACCAAGACCATACGATTTCGATACTGACTGTCGGCTTATTTACACAAACGTGCGGTGAGAACTTGACCCGATCAAGATCCGAGTAAAGATGAAATGAATCTTTCATCGTCTCTTTATCCCACTAAAAACCATCGTAATGAAATTTTCAATTATAGGCCCATTCGAAAGAACTCTTTTTAGTTTTATGAAAAAAAGAAGCATTATTTCAACGATCGTGATTATAATGCCTTGTGTTAAGAGGTTTCCCAGGGGTATTAATTAGGTAAATAACGATGACAAAAGTTAATTATGCGATCGGGTTGCTTTAATTCGTTGAAACGATAAGGTCTGCTTTGAATTTATATTTACCTTCGTAAGGTGCAAAGACTACTCAGAACTACAGGGCTTACAGAATAAGTTCCTCTTTAAAGCGATTTCTGGTTACGTAACTCACCGTAAACTATGCGGTACTTTATCACATATAAAGTTTCAGGAAGTCAGTTTTATTGATCAGGTTTTTAACTAAGTTTGTGCGGCGGATTTCAATTAAACCGCGAATTTCCACAGGTTCATTTTAAGTGACGCAGTCCTCGCTGTGCAGTTTGAAAACCTTGGGCGATATCTGGTTCGTTATCATTGGTCAGAAGACGGTGAGCCATTGATTATTGCATTCCCAACATGGCTTTTATATTCAATTGTGTTTTGACTATGTTAGTTTGGCCAGAAGTCATCCAATATTTGCTGATAACAGATTTCCTTCCAATAAAACGTAATGATCAAAACACAATCTAAGAGGTAGAATATATCTTAATTCCCTCGGAAACAAAGTTTACTAAGTTTACTAAGGATAGACCATTTCTCCGCTACCTCTAAAATAGATTATTCACGAATACCCTTACTCCAATACATAACAACGGAGGATGTTTAATTATCAAGAAATCCATCATGAAAAACAATCGAAACCTGAAGTAGTCATATATTGGGTCACTACAAATCAAATAAAAAGACGTGCAAGATTTAACATTCTTCAACGTGTAAAAGAAATTCTAAGAGATACATTTATTTTATATATATATATATATTGTCTGTGCGTCGTATGTGCAGCTTTCTACACTTGTTTTAAAATTTTTTCGTAAAATTGTGAGTGGGTTCTGCTCGATAATCCCTGTTTTCGTGAAGAACAAGTTCAATTTGGGCTTCAATAGTTAATAAGCGGCCAGCCAAGAACACAGACAAAACGTACCACGTCATAACCAATGATTTTAAATCAACAAATTTTGCTGGAGGAAAATACAATAATTCAAGTTTAAGAAGAAAATTTATTAAATAGCATAAATTTTACAAACGATTTTTTGCCAGGGTTTGTTTTTAAATGTTCGAAGAAACATTTCAATGATGCTCATTACTTCATTTTGTAATTTTCACGTTACTTTCACCTTTTGGGCCTTGTGTCAAACAGCAACGGCTGCTATTGAATGCATAATTAAAAGGAGGCTTATAACTTTTGAGAATATTCTTTATTTGATTAGATTTCTCATGCGAGAGAGTTACCGTCAATGAAAGTCATATATTGTCTTCGATCAAAGTAAGAAACATACAATTGCCTGCATTGGCCGCTCCTTAATATTGGTATATTGATATTTCAACTTTTGGCCGCCCCGCCAGGCCATTCGGATGTTAACAATTTATTCTTCTTGTCTTAGAGCGTATTATATTTCCCACAACTTAAATTCCGTAATCAATTCCTTTTAACCGACCAACGCTGTGTTTTACGGGAAACAAAGAGAACTCAATGCCAATTTTGTTTCTTTTTTCACAGGGGATCTTTAACAAATTCAAGAAAAAAAATGAATTGGAGTAACACCACGATACCTTCACCTGCGAGCACGAGGGCACATCCATGGTTCGTGGTCTTCTGTGTCGAAGCGTTTATCGTTGTATGTGGTAATCTTATCACTATTTTGGCATTTGTCTCAAGCAAATCCTCGAGAAAAAGTAAATTCATGCTGCTTACTAATCTTTCCGTAGCAGACATGTTAGTCGGCGCTTTTCCTTTGCCTTTATATTTAGCTTACCTAGGAGAAGAAATGTCCTTTTGGAACATTCACTGGGGACTGGCTTTGGATATAACTTTGTTCGGGCTGGATGTTCTTCTTGGATTTGCATCTCTGACAACTCTTACAGTGATTTCTCTTGAACGTGTCTACGCCGCTTTGGTTCCAGTTGGTTATCGCGGTCTCAGTTCGCGAAATTATTTGTTTTCCATCGCGTTGATTTGGTCTGTTGCTTCGACCACCACAGTCGTTTACCTTGTGAGTAATTTTGTGCTTAACTCCATGAAAATCGCAACCTATGTATCCATGTCTCTGCTGAGCGTGCTCTGTATTGTGATAAGTGTCTCGTATTTGACAATATGGCGCCGAATCAAATCGAAAAGAAGGTTCATTCGTCAAAAGTCGAGCGAGTATGAAAACAAACTAGCTTTGACATTGTTTATTGTGACACTCACCTCGCTTGCAGCCTGGCTTCCCTTTGTTATTGTTAACGTTCTGTTCGTGTTTTCATCGGTTCATTTTAGTTTCAATTTTTTTTATTTTTCCAAAGTACTTCACTATGGAAACTCCTTCGTTAATCCTTTAGTTTACAGCTTAAGGATGCCAGAGTTTCGCAGCTCGGTAGTTCGAATTTTCTGCACGAGTTATAGGCAGAGGAAAGGCGCCGCCAGCTGTCAGCGCAGCGTTACTGAAGATGTTCAAAGTACCTCTCGATCACCTCGATGCAAAACACAAAAGGATGAATTGAGTACGCCCACTAAAAGCAAAAATACCACAGTAACCTGGAGAAAAGGTAATCCCCAGGAAGTCTCGGTTCTACTTACTGACCTGGGAGACACTGAAAAGTTTTGATGATTCAAATAAACAAACTTCGAATCAGATTTATCTCTGGCTTTTCTTTCATTCCTTTCAAACTGTCACAGTGGATTTACACAGAGAAGAACTCGAAGTTTATCCTTTTTTTCATTCGAGTGAAAGGCCAGGAGAAGATTCACATAAGTAGCTTTACGAAAGTAATTTTGCTTGGCTGTTGCCCAATCTTGTACTGCGCTGGATCTGCCTCACCTCGCCTCGATCGACCATGGCCACACTTTGTCATCGTCTTCTTCCCGCGCTGTAGGTCTTTTGCATGTGACTTTTTTATTGGTTCTTCGTGGTGTTGAATTTTTCTCTGGTTGGCTCTGTTTTTTTTTTGTTTTGTTTTTTTTATTTTGATGGCCGAACTGAAAGGGCTCTTCGCGCTTGATCATCTTTATTGTGGAATCCTCTTTTTCTGCTTTTAATTTCAGAAGTCATGATTTCACATTTGGGGTAACAGGAAAACGAGGACTCGGGTACACCGTGTTTTTAGGCTTAATATAGTCTTTTTCTCTTCAACAAATAACGTACTCAATAGAATACTGGTCCGTATACCTCAATGTGTACAAAAAAACTAACTTTTAATGACTTAATAATCATTTATAAGTCAAAGTGACACTTGAAATGTAATTAAGTTGTTTTAGTAATCTTGGGGCGTGTAAAATTTTTAGTCATCTTGAACCTTATCAATAAAGAACGCGTTTGAAATACTGTAATGAACTTATTAGGCATGCCATGTGGCGTAAAAACTCTTCGGGTTTAATTTTTCGCAGATATTGCAGATTGTCCTCCATAAGTATAAATTACTTCCTGCTAAAATGAAAATGATGACGACAAATAATAATGTTAATGATAGTGCTGTATGCCTTTAACACAATTAAAAAAAACTCCAGGGGAGTAGGCAAGAGTAAGTAAAGCTTAGCCTTAAGGAGCAACAAAGCAGCAAAAAGATTTTGCTGCTTTGTTACTCCTTAATGGTTGGTAAGTATGACCTTTCAAGGCTTAGAGCGTTTTCGATTGAATGTCGTAAAACCAAGATCGACAAATCAGAAGAAAGGAAAATACCTTTAAGTTGACTCAAGAGCCAATGGGAACTCAAGGTAAGAATAAACAAACTGCCTAAAGCGCGGGAAAACGCGAGCGACCAAGTCGTGATTGGTTTTAGTTTTGGATCTGATTGTTTGAGGGAGTGGTGCAAGTTTTCTGGGCCAATCACAGTGAAAGTAAAGCAAAAACATTTCAATCTTGGATTACTTTCGACACTCAATTGAAAATTACTATAATAGAATCAAAAGAAAGGTGTCCGAGAAGTATAACGTGTGTTAACTCAACAAGTAATAAAAGTTATGAATATCGTGCCTCCCTCCCTCCCTGTTCATTTCTTTTCTTCTGAAACTCAAATCGCGAAAATCAGTAGTTTCCAGGTTACATTTTAATAGCTTAAGCCACAAAGATTTGTTCCCGAAAAAAAGAAATAGAAATATCGCCATTCCGCAAAATAAAACTCACGCAAATGTTTTCTATGTGTACGGTAGCCTCTCTCTTCAGTTTTTCTTAGCTGTGCGCTAGCGCAACAAGGAACTTTTGTACGCCACTACCCTTGTTCTTCATGTTTCATTGTCCCTGTGCTAACTACGAAGCAAATATTTCACATACTGATGTTCCCCTTCACTTTAACAGATACCGTTTTAGATGTCTCTAATGGGGAAGTTACTAATTGAAATAACCTCATTTAAAACTAGATCTTCACTTAGTACTTTTCGGGTCGTAGCTTTCTTGTTAGAAATGAATCACACAGAGACGTACAATTTCCATCCGTCTGCGGCACTTAGTGCAATCAGATAAAAGGAAATTAAAAGACCTTTGTAGGGTGAATACCTATTGGCAACGTAATGAAAGGAGAGGCATATTTAGAGAGCGGTTGTAGCTGTGTCACGGCAACTGTTTGACCTCCTACTTTGAAATAATGCCCTGTGTCGCTCAGGCTGTTCCATCCCATGGCGACGGAACACCAAGGCGTAAGCAGCGGCCTTGAAATTAGGGATCCGAAACCAGTAGATGAAAATACTACAGATGGAGTTGAAGAAGTGCAGGAGTTTGACCATGCTCACGAGTCGGACGTCATGACTGATGGTTTGCGCCACCAGGTTGATGGCACTCATAATCATGAAAGGCAACCACGCTAGTAAGGACACCACAGTGACCATCAAAGCGGTGACAGTGAAGCGATGGTTACGCTGCTCAGTTCCCTCATGATCATGAAGATTACGTGCCAGCCATTTCATTCTGCCCAACAGGATGGAATAGGACACAGTGATGACCAGAAGCAGCACAGTAAGGAATGGCATCCAAACAAAAAAAGCAACCATGTTGGAATGAAGGACATGGAAACCAACCAGAGTCACCACAGGGATGCACACTGCACACATCCATACCACAATAATGAGCTGTGTGGTGATTATCCTTTTACTGCTTCTGTATTTGAAAGGTAACAGCGTGGCTATAAGTCGTTCTACAGCGATGCAGCCATGATTGGTAACAGAAGCAAACGCTCCTCCAATATCCAGGGCAGAGTAGGTGATGTGACCAGCCAGATGAGTGCTGTCTGCCCAGAGGTTGGCTTGAGCTCCAAAGAAGTACACCCACCCAGGTATGGGCACTGTGGCCACCAGCAAATCAGCTACAGCTAAATTAACCAGGAGGATGGACGTTTGAGCCCGGATTCGCTTGTTAGTGAGGAATATAGCGATTGTGGCCACGTTGCTTGTAATGGCCACCAAGGCTTCCACGCCGAAAATAACGCACCAAGCTATGACTTCGCTTGGCGCTAACGATAAAGCTACAGTATCACTGGAGTTATCTGATCCTTCCATTTTGCGCCGCTAGGAAAATGGATAACGATGAAAAAGAAAATGAAAAAAAAAAAGAAAACAAAAAAAAAGAAAAAATAAGGAGGGCATAAAAAGTGCTTAAAGTAAAGTTTTTAAAGATAAATTTCTATTTTTTAAGAGATCGGCAACATTTTGCTGAGGAATAATTAATCTTAGACAAAAGATTTTGGTAAACTTTCTTATGAAAAGAATTGTGGTTTTTTTTCACTCTTAATTAACCTTTTGTCGCTGTAGTAACCAATTTATATTCTTTTAAAAAATTTACGAGTGCATATTTAGTTCAAATTGCACGAGACAATTTATGTAAGTTTACGAGTACGTATCAATGACAGGCACGAACACATTTTGAGGTGGTTTTTCAGATGACTAACCCCTGCGTATAGTCAAAACAAATGAGTGCGATCAAAACAACAATCTTTTACTTGAGTTTTATATTTTTTGCGCTGGAAAAAAGGCCAGAGCCTGGGTAAACAGTTTTTCCCCTTTTTTGCTCTGATAAACCTCTTTTCTTCCCTGTTTTATCTCTCACAATTATACAACGCGATACTTGGAAACTGAAATTCTACAGGCAAAATCCAGTACATTGACATTCAAAGCAACTTTCCCCTATGAATTTTCATGAAGTCAGGTCTTTGAAAAATAAAAAAACAACCCTTTATCCCTACGGAAAAAAATGTGGAGGTAACTCTCTTTTTTATAAACACTTTAGATAACCAGTTGAAACTTTTTCAGCATCTTTTGATAACTTTTTCATTTAATCACTTTTTTTCCGGTTTGGGTTTTTACAGCTTAACAATAAAAATAAAAACATCTCACGAAATTATGAGAACAGATGCGGAAGTGTCATTCAAAACGCATATTTTTACCACACAGGATGAAAAAAACAACCAGAGTGGCGAAGCAAATCAGCTGTGTGCATCCGGTCAACAGATCCAAACAATGTGAGAGATATTCAATTAGCTAAGATCAGACATTAAGGCATGAATACATCATATGTTTAGCTGCCTACATACTAGTATTTCTCTTGTTGATCAACACAGAGAAGTCTCACAATTGTCTCGAGAGCGGTTCTGACTACAGTTTAAGACCTATTCCATGGTAATCATGTAGCCGACGATGTTTAAATGTTTAAATTCATTTGCAGCATATTGCAAAGCAGTCCATCACTTTGGTCTCAGTTGTTTTAGAATCAAACTAGCAGATAATTACTTTCTTGTTCAGTAAGTGATGCATTGAAAGAAAACTAATAAGATAACAGAAATTGCTGCAAGATTGAGCATTAGCTTTCGGAGAATACGCCATCAAATTTAAAGCAAAATTACGTAAACTGGAAGAAGAATTTGAGCTTCGACAAGGCAGGACAGTGGAGCGGCACAGGCAAACAACTGTTTATTTGGTTTCTCACTCTCCAAATTTTCATATGTCTGTAAATTGCAGATTCGATGTAGAAAAAGACTATGAGAAAACAACGAGGAAACGAAATAAAGGCATTTAACTTTTAAATTACTTATACATCATAAACATTACTTAGAATGGTTATGGAACGACCGTGGAATGTTAGCAAACATCTAATGACAAAAGCGAGAAAAAAACTAAGGGACAGGCAAATGTCGTTACTATAGGAAAGAAAAAAGTGAAAGGGGAATCGTGCTAACGTAAGGCTGTAGTAAGAGGGTTTATTTTCAACTTCTTTCTAAAAGTTGTAGCACTTTAGAAATTATTTATGTCAAGGCTGAGCGTGTTTAAAAAATTTAGAATCATAACTTTAAAAAATAGTAAAATACAGGATAAGACATGTTTATAAGCACAAAGCGAGCTGGGTTGACATCTCCGATTTCCCTGGTGATCAATCGATGTTCATGGATGAGCTTTTCCAACAGTAATCTTGATCTTGTAATAACCAGGGAACTCAATGGAACAAGACTAAGTTCAAAGAGATTTTTCTGAGTAAGCCAAAAACGTTTATCCAGTTAAGTCACACGGCTTACTCACCTTCTAGGACTGTAGGACTTGTGGACGCACTTGGCTACTAATGCTGATTTGCTCGATTGGCGTAGACTCTAAGCTTTAGCTAAGCTCAAAAACAGGAATAAAGCTTCCCAGCTGTTACCGTCACTGAGACACCTGAACGGGAAAAACACCCAGATTAAGATCAGTCCCCAAGGCGTATCTGAAATTGGAATCCCTTTGATATTTGCCATTCCTTTTGCGTAGATTTATGCATCAAAAAGACGGACGAAAGGCAAAAATGGAATTTCATGCAGTTAAACGCCGTCCATATCGCGCGTAGCATCCAGAGGTTTCTCCAGGCAGCATGAGATGGCTCTTTCGTACTCATCACATCACGTGCCTGACTTCGATGACGCCTAGTGTCTATGCCATGCGGAGTAAATGATGTTGTGAAAAACATAAAAAAATATGAACAATTCTAGATGGTTTTGTTCATTCTAAAGTAAACCTACAAAAATAGAACGAAGTGGGAAGGTAAGTCGTAAACATTATGGATGGGCTCGTGATAGAAGGCCATGTCTTCAAATATCGCATCTAGATTATTTCCCCCAAGGGTGTTATGCACTTCTTTCGTGGAAATATTTTTCCTGTCCTCATCTACTTAAAGTTGCGACATGGAGTTTTAGTTAAAGGTTTCCAAGAAGTTGTTGATATAGCATTTATTATTAACGAAAATCTAAACGTGACGACAAATTTTGAGCACATATTTATGGCAAAAATTCATGCATGATATGAATTTCCAAAATCTCTCGAGGTGACTGACTCCTTTGAACTTTGTGCCAAACCCACCTTAGTAAAGTATCGATAGAACGTTTGTTAGAGTTTTCACTTTCCACAAAAAGTAAGCTTAAAATTCTTATAGTGAATACTTGTATTTTATTAAAAAATTATTCGTTTTAACGCACCGCGATTTACAAAATTGTGCAGTTGTTTTAACCCCTTGTATACAGCTTGGATCTAAAAACTGTCACTGCACGATGTAGGGCCACTCCAATATTTGCTCATGGACTGACCGTTTGACCGATGTGTTTACTTTCCAGGCTCATGCTTAATCATGCATTGACAAAGTAAGTGCTCACAGTAAGTTGGAGCAAAGCATGGCTGTTAAGCTTTTCCTCAGTTTCTCAAGAATTAGCTGATTATGAATATCATAATTCCTAGATGAGATGTTGGTCTACTGCAAGGTACCCCCCTCCCCCTCCTTTTCCCTTGCCACTCTACTTCTTACCATGTCCACCCGGATTTTCCTGACAGTTCACAAGCACCACTCATTCATCTAGCCCGAGAATGCACAGGAAAATAAAGACCCCGGCTATGACTGCAACCAGGACCTTTGGTACATGTTCCCCAGTTTGCAAAACCCACAATTGTTTAACCCTACACACAGTAGCATCAGTATACATACATTCCATTCTGTTCTTTCCGCATTTCGTAAGTTGCTAACAAAGGAGAACTTGTTTGACAGTCGAGCTTCTTAAGTTGATCATTTCAGTTATTCTTGCGACCTTAATGTTTGATTCAGGGTGATATTGTAAGGAGAAATTTGATGCTCGTCAATATAAAGGGTCAAAAGGTGCAAGGTTTGGTCTTAGTGTGAGTTGTTAATTTTAATTAAAGATTAATTTATATGTTGACACTCAAATTAAGAATTATTTTTATTATAATTATTTCGCCACAGTCCATGGAAGATTACAAAAAAAAAGTACACCTCACTTCGGGTTTAAACGGAATATTTCTATCTCAAAGTTATTTTTCATCCTCCTTCTGAGAAATTTTCTCCAACAGCTCCATCCGAGCATTTTCAGGCAAATGTAAGAACAATGGACTGCGCAGAACTTGTAAATCTGCTTCAATTTTTAGTATAGCATCTTTAATTTCGTTGTATCGCCTAATATCAAATACTTTCCTCTTTGAAAGCTTGTGGAAAAACAGTAAAAACTGCCTATCTCTGGCGTCGGGGTAAAGGAATTCCTGAAAAAAAAAAACAAAAAAAAACGTGTTCGAGAGACATTCATGTATACAGCTGCGATGGTGACCATTTCTTACCTGTCTTGTCAACACAAAGTAAGCGTAGCAAGCCATGGCAGTTCCATATCCCACAAAATAAGTTACAGGTTCCATGATATCCCAAGAGTACTCCCACCAAGTCAATCTTGCTAACAGACCAAACTGGAATGCCATGTACCCCAGCCCACCCCACACTACAATATTGGTTCGTTGAGCTGACTTGCGGTCGATTTCGGCTTTGATGTCTTCCATTGGCTTTAGTTCTAGTTGAAGTTTTTCCAGCTCTGCCATCAAATAACGTTCTTTTTCCAGCTGAAAACAAAAAAACAAAAAAAAAAAAAAGCTCCGATATTAAGCTATACAGAAACTGCAATTTTTTTTAATGAGGACCAGTGTGAATCCATTGACACGAAAAGCATTTTTCATTACCATGCAAACAAACTCATTTTCACAAGAAATTGTCTTTACTTGGCCTCATGTATTTTTAACAGGGTAATTAAGTTAATCAATAAGTTTCTCAGAGGAGTTTTTACATTAATGTAAATAATCAACCAAGTCATTTATCCATACTTCCCAGTTTTGGTATACAATATAACATAGTGAAGTAGACAAATGAAAGACAGTGAATCCACTTAACAAACAGATTCCAAGTTGCCGTGCGTCTGTTCAGTAATAGATCACAGATGACGTCAAAATTTAGTAAGAACAAAAAAGTGGCACACGAGGCGCAGCCGAGTGTGTCACTGATGTTCTTACCACATTTTGACGTCCTCTGTGATCTATTACTCAACAGACGCACGGCAACTTGGAATCTATTTGTTTCATATAATAAAGACTTAAAGTATGCGGAAAAAAAGTTTTAATGATGACGTCATCTACACGTCCGTCCTCCAATAGATCATAAGTGAAAACCAATCAGAATGCGTGCATAACTGAGCTTATTATATATATATATAAATATGTATATATATATATATATATATATATATATATATATATATATATATATAGATCATGCCACATACCTGATGTTGCTCTATGTTCATAGCACTGTACAACTGGTGGACCAAGGTTTTAACATGTGCAACTGTTTTAAAGTCATCAATTGGAGGTTTGGCTACAAAAGAGAGCAAAAGAATTAAATTGATGAAAATCAGTGAAATGTACTCTCCAAAGCAGTCAAATACTATTGGCAGGAGCCTTGAATCTCCACTCTCTGTACTATTTGCTTGATTTAGATAGTAAACTCTGGATAACTTCCTCCTAATTCCACTCTTGTTCTCTTAAAGTTAGTTGTTAATCCTTAGGAAGACAACAATATTTTTAAATTGGGAAACACAGTTGCCCAGTGGTTAGCACCTTGGACACAGGATCCGAAGGTTTGGGTTTGAAAGCTGGCTGTTGTGTTCCTAAACATGATATTTTGATCCTTTAGTGCTTCTCCTTAACCAGCACTATATACTTCAAGCAAACTAGCCAATTAACAGAAAAGAGGGACAAATCCTTGAAAGTGGAGGGGGGATCCTTGAGAGTGGGGAAGGGGGGACTTTGGATGGACTGCCATTTAGAGCAAACTATATTCTTGATCACTTTATGCTACAGAAAGTATGACAAGCTCTAGTGACATGGTCCAGGAGAACTTCAATTAAGTTCACCTGAAGTAAACATATGGAACATTTTCAGATTCCCCTAAACCTAACCCTAAGCAAACTCTAAGCAATTACTGCAAAACAGTGCCAAATACAGTTGAGGTACTACAATTCTCACTGCTATATATGTAGAGAAGGATGTTTCCTTGAGTACAGAAAAAAGGCTTAATTGTGAGGATGGCTAAACCGACATTTCTGTAATATAATAATGATAATTATTAATCCTTAGTGTGTCTAAATAGCACTTACTCTCATCTGGTACTGATACAAAATATGAGTTGTCATTCAAAACCACTTTAAAATCAGACTGCAGTAACACATCAACTCCTGTGCTTCCAGAAATTCTAGAGCCATCTACATTGTAAACTGTAGCTCTTTCAATTCCCTTGTCTTCTTTTTGTATGTTTTCCAAGAAGTCTTTAACTGTGTGCGTCAGTGGGCGTAGAACAAATTCACACTGTTCCCTCCTTGATGGTAAAGGAAGTAAAATGACGGGAAAACCACTTTTAAAACCCACAGAAACCTTATCTGTTGAAAAAAACATTTGGGTGACCAGAAAATATATCCACTTTGTTCAGCATCTTAACCTTTTACTGTTAAAGCTCAATTATTTGGACTTGTGGGAACTGGGCTGAATAATCCTGTTAATAACAAATATATAAATTCATGAGCCAAAAGTTAAAACTGTCCTCATAACATTCAATTAATTTTATTCTAGAATTAAAGCACATTCTTAAATCATTGTGCACCATTGCTAAAATTTTCCTATTAAAAGAAGTATTATGATAACAACATCTTGCAACCTAAAATGCAAAGTAGTTTGTTTCAAGCTGCTACAGTCTGTTCATGCCACTAATTGTATCATTCTTTTCAACTGGATTAATTAAATAGTGTTGACATTGTCTCAGTACCTTTGCTTTGTTTGATGGGGAAGAATTTTTACAGATATCACATGTGACTAATAAATATGCATGAAAAAATGGGACCAGACAAGTGAGTCTGGATAATCAAAAAAACTAAATATTTGAGGTCCAGATAATTGAGGTGCAGCTGTACTTTGCTTTTTTCAAATAAGTTTATTGTACATTTCCCTTATGCCCCAAACATACAGTGAAGTAAAACTTGGACTGAGGATATAGCAATTTTCAATTGAGTATCAAATGTAATACAGGATTGCAATGGATTTGTTTTACTTCCCTATTTGATTGGTACGGAAAACTTGTGTGACTGGCCAAGCCAATCAGTTGCAAAACTAAAACCAACCACCCAATCTTGGTCACTCATATTTTCCCATTTGGTGCTGAAATATAAAAACAGTAGCCTCTACTTGGTGCAAAAATATCCTCTGATATTTGTCCATGGATATTATGCAGTCCAAGATGTAAACAGTTAGCTGAGTGAGAAGTTTAAGGAAGACTGTGAGGCGTGAGGAATGATTGTGTCCTTGGACCAATATTCAATTATTTTTTAGTGCTAAGTGAAGACTACTTTGTTCATGATCCATCAAATATTTTTGCAATGCAAAGGACAAAATATTTACAAACAGTGTACTGTTTACTGTGTGGTATGTTTACTTTTCAGTGATCTCAAGTACCAATTTGTGTAAAAAAAAATGTCCCTGTAACAACAGCTTGGCACTCTTTTATCTTGAATTAAAACTTAAAAGAAGACTATCATCATAATGGATGTAAGGATGGGAAATTGGGGAATATTATTTGGGGTATATCACTGCATATTCCCCAGTTTCAGCTTGGGAATACTTGGTCATGTACTGCATTTGGACCAATTGCATGCAAGCAACAATAACTGATGGATTATAAGTTTGTATATTTGTTCTTGACATTATCAGTTCTTTAAGGGTTGCAGTTTTTCTTTAACTTTGCTCTTGGAAAACTGTTCACATTTTGCAACAGATCTCACACAAGCACATTCCCATGCCAAATGGCGGCTATTGTTTAGTATATTTTTGTGCCAAATGGAGGCTATTGTTTATCTGTTAAACTTTCAACTTTGAATATTGCATTTCTAGTGATAACTCAACTCTGGCTATCAGCTTATATTAGGAGTCACCTTAAAATGGAAATGCACCACACCAACAGTTGTGGAGCTGAAAAAAGCTCCAAATTTGGACTCATGTTAATGAAATTTAATAAAACATGATAGTGGTCATAGACACTTTCGCTCTATGTGCCTAGTTGGCTATTAACCATCTCAATCCAAGGTGCGTTCATCGTTATTGTTGTCAGATATTTAGGCACCAAATGGAGGCTAATGTTTATTTATTTTCGCGCCAAATAGAGGCTGTTGTTTACAAATTTAAAGAGCTTGCCCTGTTTTTCGCACCCTTAGAGTGATCTGCCTGTGTTCTACCACTTTTAAAATAACTACATGGACTGATCACTTACCCTTTTCCACCAGAAAGAATTACAGAAGGAGTTCGTATTCATAAGAGATACTTAAAAAATTTACTCTCCAGAATGGGTTATGATATGCCAGCAGGAAATACTACGTAAACAACTACCGGTTCAAGTGGTATGATCACATTCTTCGCACGTACTCGATCAACAAGGCTACGATTTCCCTTTTTTCCCCGTAAGAAATACCACTTTAAAAGAGGCTTCAATAACACAAGTCCATTTCTCGGCGATAAAAATGATTTCAATTCTTCCGACAGCTGCAAGGCAAACAAGTGTCAACTTACCGCTTCTACATAGCGCAGAAACGAAAATCCAGTGCTTCGGTATCTTATTCCAGACGCTCTTATTTAGACGTGCTCCCTGAAGAAAAAATGCACACACGTGCGAGGATAACAGTATCACCTTCACGACCAAAAGTACTACAAAGATTTCGAATATTCGAATTCACATTTTCAATGGTGTTGACAACGTAAAATAATTTTCACAAATTGATAAGAGAGTGGGAGAGTTTATACATAGCAGACAGGAAACAGAAAGATAGCAGTGGATTTTAGGGAAAGAAAGTACGGTTTTAGGTTTCGGTGATTTACCTTAAAACTAAACAGAGCGATCGATGAAGATCGAGAGAGCCTCAACGTCCCTGCCATGTCAAACGCCTTCTTGATCAAATGAAATATGCACATTCTGTAGGAGGGGTAGGTTGGAAAGATTTTACCCAAGGGAAATACTTATATGGTGTTCTATTCTTTTTTGACATTTTCTTTGTCGATGATTGAAAAACAAACATGTTATTTTTTTCATTTTATGTTCTTCCATAGCATGTTATGTTGGATAAGAAAAAGCATGTTAGTCTCGTAAAATTTAAAATTGAACAAGTTGTTTATCCACACCTCTCCCCCTGGGATTAAAACTACTTTGTTTCGACATTTTCCCACAAGTCGTCATATAAGGTAGTAATAACTGTAAAGCTTACAATAAAATATTAGGTAAAATGGCACTTGGAAAACAACTGCCGAAATAAATGTGGGTAAATTTCGGAGGTTAGGTGTGTTCGCTAGATGTGTTTATGTTCATTTAAGGCCAGCGGTTTCAAACCCTCACCAGCCGACATCTTCATTGAAGAATAAAACACAGCAAAATTTTGGCAAATATTTCGCCTGCTTGCTGCCGGTTTGGTATGTTATTTGTCCACAAAAAGCTTCCTTTTTAACTGGAGACTCTTTTCATCGCCACAAGTCAATGACGATGGGTACCCGCCTAGTTTTGCGGAGTTTACTCAACGAACTTTCATTAGTTCGGAAATGCTTTTCAACATCCAGTAACTGCAAGCTTCGTAGGGGTCGCTTGTATCAAAACGCTAGATGTTCTGCGAGCTTTTTTGGTTCATCAGCTGTGGAAAATCAACAATCTTATCAGGAAGAAAGCAGAGAAGAACGTTTTCGTAAACAACGGAGAAATATAGGGCTCATCATCGGATCATCTGTCGGCCTGATTAGTTCGCTGTATTTTTTATTCAGGAGACTCAATCAAGCTCGTGCCGAAGGGAAAAATCTTCCTATTGATTTTAAAACTGATAGAAACGTGGTTGAAACTCAAGACAAGGGAGAGGACGAGACAGAAGGTAAA